CACATCAACTTCAGTAACCCCTTCTAATTGCAGTGTATCAGCAAATGCCTACGTCAAAATTACAACTTTTTTTTCCCGCTTCCTAGTTCTGTTACTTGCTATCTCAGTATCTTTGATGGTCACTTAGTTTCCCAGGCTTCAGGTTTGTCACCTGCAGGATAGGGATAATGGTGACCGTCATGGGGTTTAATCCCCATAATGTTATTAGGATTAAACACTGGCATAAATGTATGTACACATGTGGTGGGCTTAGAATAGTGTCTGGCACATAGCACGCATCAGGAAATGTCAGCCATTTTTATCAGTTGTTATTGTTATAGTAGAGGCCTGGTGCATGGAAATTCGTGCACTCAGATGGTCCCTCAGTCTGGCCTGCGCCCTTTCCCAGTCTGGGACCCCTTGGGGGGATGTCCATCTGCCAGTTTAGGCCCACTCCCTGGGGGATTAGGGCCTAAGCTGGCAGTCAGACATTCCTCTGGCAGCCTGGGAGCCCTTGGGGGATGTCCAATTGCGGCTTAGGCCCACTCCCCTACGGCCACCTCTGTGGATGGAACTACATCAGGACCAACCATCCTACGCCACCACCTCTCCTGCTGCCTCTGTGGAAGGGAGGGGCACTGGGACCGCCATGGCTGGCCGGCAGCACAGGCTCACTGCCCTGCCCCCACCAACTGGTCATTCCAGCAGGTCATTTTGCTGACTGGCCTAATTAGCATATTAGCTCTTTATTATATAGGATGGTGCTATTGTCTCATTAATTTTAAAGACCTCGTTGGGGTATGAAACAGTGAAATTGCTCAACGCACATTTGTCTCTATTAGTTAACAAATGAATACTTTCATTTAAAAAAAGCCATTTAGAGTCATTTATTGAATTTAGGGAACAGCCCTTTCTTCTTCCTGTTTGTCCAATTTTAACACGTTAAGCGCCAGACCTGTTTTGTTTTTCTTTCCATTTAGCCCTCGATATCTGATATCACCGATATGCTGATGGCCAGAGACTGATGAGGCCCAAATGGTAAGTATAGTGTCAGTCACGTGTTAATAACTATAATCTGTCTTAAATGTGGCTGCTACAGTAATTTCATAGCCTTGGTAACAGCAGAGGTCACTTTAATGAGAGCAAGAGAAACTATTGCTATGGTGGTGTAGTAGTGAAGGACCACCTTCAGTGGCAGTAACTTTTATTTATTTATTTTTTAATATATTTTACAGAAAGGAAGGGAGAGAGCTAGAGAGCTAGAAACGTCGATGAGAGAGAAACATCGACCAGCTGCCTCTTGCACACCCCCTACTGTGGATGTGCCCGCAACCAATGTACATGCCCTTGGCCGGAATCGAACCTGGGACCTTTCAGTCCGCAGACTGATGCTTTACCCCTGAGCCAAACCGGCTTCGGCAGGTGGCAGTAACTTTTAATAAGAGCTGGTGAATAACACACACAGGGCTCAGTCCACTTTTGACATGGCAAATGGGAAATTTGAATTTCTCTCTGCTTTTGCTTTACTTCTTTCCTCTCTCTCTCCCGCAAAGCTGAATATTTCTTGACAATGAATGAAACATGAGAGGATTTAGAAGTCTTATGTTTGGAAACTAAGCCAACCTGCATTCAAATACTAATTTTGACAGGTGCACCTGTATTTATTTTTGGTAAATAGAGAATGCCAGGAAATTCAACCCAACCAAATAGAAGAAAGCAAATCCTTTAATTTTAGGTTCCAGCCCAGGTCAAATGTAAATAAAACCTGTTTGTTAAACAGCTGCCCCTCTGAGATTTGGAGGAAATGGAAGGGCTCGAATAAAGAATTTATAATGACTGGCAGTACCCTAACCCTGGTCACACACACAGATTACACCAGTTTACCTTCCTTCCTTCAGCAGCTTCAGTGAGGTCCCACTTTCCCGTATGTTCAGCAACTTTCCCTTTTAGCCTTTATCAGTCTGGTAGGGGAAACTGTTTTATTTTGCATTAAAGTGAACATCTCCCAAATACACATTGGCCATTTATGGATCTTTGAGAATTGACCACTTTCCTACTGTCACTTACTCTATTTGTTGCTGACATTTTAAGTTTATGTGTAACTTTATTTGGAATCTATCTATACTAATAAAAGGGTAATATGCTAATTAGGGTGGGCGTCTTCTGGAGGTCCATCCCGACAAAGCCACAGTGGCTGCGAGGGCCTAAAGCCGTGGCCACATGGGAGAGGTAGGCAGGTCCGCCCCGCATGGGAGGGGCAGGTGGGTCTGGCTCTCGTGAGGGAGGGGCGGGCCAGGCTGGTGCCATTGGCCCAGTGCTGCAGCCCCTTTTGCAGAGGCAGAGAAGGGGTTGCCACGCCCCCTGCCGCAGAGGTAGCACAGGACAGGCTGCGGTGCAGTCTGGTCCCAGTGCTGCCCCTTCTGCAGAGGCAGCCACAGGGGCCACGTCTCTGCAGAGGCTGGATGGGGTGCAACCAGCTGTGCCTTAACCTCCCACAACCCCTCCCACAGCCGGCCTGGCCCCAGATCTCCCCCCACCCACCAGCGGGCAGGGTGCGGAGCCAGCACTAAGAAGTGAGGGCTGGCAGCAGTGGCAGCAGCAGCAGAGTGATGGGGGCAGTGCCTTCCCCTAATCAGCCTGGTCACCTCCCGCACAGGACATCCTCTGAGGGCTCCTGGACTGTGAGAGGGGGAAGGCCGGGTTGAGGGACACTCCCTCCCCAGTGCCCGAATTTTCGGGCACCGGGCCTCTAGTCTATATATAAAAGCCAAAGCAGCAGTTACGACTGAACAACTGGCTGGTAGTGTGATGCACACTGACCACCAGCGTGCAGATGCTCATCACAGGAGCTGCCCCCTGGTGGTAAGTGCACTCCCACAGCCAACCTCCTGGGCTGGCCAACCTCCTACTATCCCTCCCCACAGCCAGCTGGCCCTGATCGCTGGCCCGGCCAAGAGACACACCCATGCACCGAGCCTCTAGTTTTGGCATAAAGTAGGAATTTTAACCACTGTTTCTCCACCCCATCTCTGGTGTGGTTAGCAGTTTTCTCATTTACCATTTATTGAATATCTTTCTGCATCTTACTTAAAATGCTATCTTTATCACATGTTATGTCCTTACACTATATGTCCTCCACTTCAAAATACATTTTTAGAATTTAAGTTTCTGGCATTGGCACTTACCATCTCCTTGCTAGATGGTGGGTTATGGTTGGCATGAACTGTGCATATGAGAACTCAGGTGGGTGTGGAAATTACATAGAAACTATAGCCATCTGAATTATTGATATCAAGTACAGTTGAATTTTGTTTTTTAAATTAACTTAAACCATTCATAAAGAGTACACTAACATGCATCCATTAGAGAAAATATTGTGTATGTTTTTAATTGCCTGATACCTGCCAGAAGAAATGTAGATCTCTCAAAATTAGGTCACATACTTTTCAAAGCTCCAAGAGTGTAATATGATCAGTTCATGAATGAAGAACTGTCACTAAGTAAGTACAAGTTCCAGTTGATGTTCAATAATCAGTTTAACAAATGTTCTGAGAGAAACAAGACTTTAATAAAATATTCTATTGATTTCAGATAGGGAGAGAGAGAGATAAAAACATCAATGAGAGAGAATAATTCATCAGCTGCCTTCTGTTCATCCCACACTGGGGATTGAGCCTGCAACCTGGGCATGTGTCCTGACCTGGAATTGAACTGTGAGTTCCTGGTTCATAGGTTGATGCTCAATCACTGATCCACACTAGCTGGGTTAGACTTTTAATGTACTTTCTTTCCCAAAATCTATGATAAACACCATAATTAATGATAAAAATTAGTGAGTTGGGGCTCTATTAGTCGCTCTAACACCCTAAAGCTCTGAGCCTCCAAGTGAAGTTTTTAAGATATTTTGTAAAATCTTTTCGTTGTTTTGCCTGATATAGCAGACTGTCCAAAATACACACACTTTCTTTAAATGCTGCAGTACAGGTTTCCGTTATTGAAGGCTTTCTTTCCCTTTAAAATCCATTAATGGCCTTTTGGACCATCGCTTCCTAAGAAGACATTGTTTTTGACCTTTTTACTGAGCTGTCCAGGGTTTCCTGTGGCGTGTGGCCTCCCTCATGGCAGTGAGCATTACACTGAGCTTGTTCCTAGTGGTCTCTGCCTGGAGGATATTAACAGAATTATGGCACCTTCTACATTAACTGGCAAAGTATTCTTCTAGGCAAGATATAAAAATAATTAAATTTTAAGTATTTACTTATAGATAAAAGCAACCCACACAATAAAAATAATTTTTAATATGTTTTACTGATCATTTATTTACATTTATATACATATTATAATCACAACGAGGAAAGGTTTAGAAAATTATTTTTACCTGGTTTTTGTTTTAAGGGAGTAAATGTGTTTATGTTCCATTTTAATAATTTTATGAAATGAAAGTATTATTTGATAAGAGAAAATAAGTATGTAACATTGATCCACTAAACCAACCAAATAAATAAAATATTCATACTACCTCCAAAGTTAAAGACAAATAGCAAATTTTAATTATACCACGAGTCTAGAGAGTTATGTAAAAGAATAAAGGCACTGGAGATTTCTCAAGTTTCAGATGACCAGGCAGAAAATGCAAGTCATCAGCTCAAGAATAATGACAGCAAAGATGTTTTTATGAACTGGGTACTTTAATCATGTTACATATATTAAGTCACAGTATCAAATTTCCTCTGCATTGGTCAATAAATGAGCTTTATTTATCTTATAAATCAGTGAACTGTGACTGTTCTTATTTTGGTGTCAGGTAAATAACTGGAACAAAAATGTGAGCTCCTGTATGCAACAAATGCTAAAACCAGTTTTCAGGACTACACTACATGCTGATGGTAGATCTGCAGCTAAGCTCCATATTAGGAAACAATAAACCCTGAAGAAGCCTTAGCCTCTGAAATATCATCAGGTTAACAGTTTTAGAACTTATAAACACTGAAAATTAATGTGGAATAACCTAAAAACATTCTTCAAGAGGCATCCAATCTCTTATAGGCTTCTTCGATGAAAGTTAGCATGTTCTTTGTCTGAGACGAATTATGGAGAACATCAAAGTCCTTCAGAAGAGCTTTCTGGTTTGGAATTTGTGCCAAAATTTCTTCCTGTGGGTACAATGTTTAAAACTGTTTATTGAAATATAATTGACATAAAACATTATATTAGTTATAGTTGTATAACATAATGATTCAATATTTGTATATAAAAGTGCAATGAATCTAGTTAACATCCATCACCACACAGTTATAGTTTTTTGTGATAAGAACTTTTAAGATTTACTTTTACAACTTTCAAAAATACAATACAGTATTATTGACTAATACTGTATATTACATCCTCGTGACTTATTTTACAACTGGAAATTTTTACCATTTGACCACCCATATAACTGTTTTTTAAATCTTATTATGAAAACTATAAAATGCTATTTACAGAATGGTATAATAAATCTCATGTTCCCATCATTCAACTTCAAAAACCATCAACTCATTCTGTTCTCCTTTCAAATCGACATTATTGTTTTTTTCCTCTGCCCATTTTGCTTCTTACACCTAGATGAATTGTAAATACGAAAACTTCAAAATACTTTTTGAGACGATATAAAGAATTTCTACCACTATAAACATTTACATTATAATATCTACTAGAGTCCTTTGAAGAAAGACAAGTTAGCAGTGTATAGCCCACTACAAATAAGACATAATACTATTTTATGAAGAGCCATATGTCTTTGTTAGAAGTGTAAGCAAAAGCAACTGTTTGAATTTACTTTCCTAAATCTATTCCACAGTTATATAACCACACAAATGCGTAAAAATATATGTACAAGCGTATACTCAGCATTATCTGTAATGATAAAACTTACTTATTTCCATCAGTAACTCACAATTTATATTATGGTATATCCATACAATGGAATATTATACAGCTACTACCCGTGTTTCCCCGAAAATAAGACATCCTCTGAAAATAAGACCTAGCGCATGGAAAAATAAGACATCCCCTGAAAATAAGATATAGCGCATCTTTGGGAGCAAAAATTAATATAAGACACTGTCTTATTTTCGGGGAAACAGGGCAGTAGCCCTGAGCACTTATCCCCGTGTGAGTAGCGTGCTCGCTGCTGCTTGCCTCAACTGGCCACCTGCCCACTCCACTGGTAGCTCTCCGCTGCAGCTCTCTGCCCGCCCTCCTGCAGCTTTCCACCACTTGGTCATTAGTTGTGATGTTATGGTGTAATGGATAATCCATATTATACAGGATTAACAAAGATGAGACACATCTACATAGACTGACAAAGAAAGATGTCCAAACTATAGCGTCAAATAAGAAATAATTGTGTGTATATGTATACTATGAATTCCATTTTTTTTTTTAAAAGAAACAGCATATATAATGCTTTTTAATATCAAATTAGTAACTGGTGATACAGCCAATATAGTCAATTGTTACTCACCTGAAGTATGGGTGCTTTGAGAGTCTTCTGAGGAAGTTCTGGAAGGGAGAGTACCCCACTGCTATCTATTTGAAACATCTAAAGTAGAAAAAAGAAAGCTGTTGGTTCTTTAAAAAGACTAATATCTCTGACCTTATTACACGGAAAAGTTGTGTTGGTAAAATTACACCAAGTCTAGCAATATATTATTAAACAATTACCTGTTTGACTTTCTCCTCTTCTTTTTCCATCTCACTTGTCAGAATTTGAATTTTGTTCTTTAGGCTCTGGATATTCCCAGTCACTGCCTCTATGGTCTCTACTATTTTATCCACTTCTTCCTGAGTCAGAAAGAGAAAGTTAATGTTTCAAATTAAATATTTTATTAGAAAAACCCCAGAGATATTTACATATCTTTTAAAAACCTTATATATTACAACACTGCTAAAAAGAAACTGGTAAATACATTTTTTTCTTTCAAAAACCAGAGTTGCTAGGAACTAATTGACCACTGTCACAATGCATTATAAAGTGAATTTCCTGAAACAAAAAGATATACCTACGTACAAGAATATTTCCTCAAAAATACTGAAGCTGCTAGCTTCAGATTCTAGAAGCCCAGCAGAGCCCGAGGGCTGATGGCTGTTCATCTATACCCCACCACAGACCATGGCGATCACTGATCCTTTTATTGTCCTCACAGTTTTGTCTTGTCCAGATGTCACACAGCTGCAATCACATAGTACACAGCCTTCTCAGATTGGCTTATTTCACTTAATAATATGCATTAAGTTTCCTCCTTGCCTTTTTGGGTTTGATAGCTACTTTCTTTCTTTTTTTTTTTCAAATATATATTTTATTGATTTTGTATAGAGAGGAAGGGAGAGAGATAGTTAGAAACATCGATGAGAGAGAGTCATCGATCAGCTGCCTCTTGCACACCCCCTACTGGGGATATGCCCGCAACCAAGGTACATGCCCTTGGCCGGAATCGAGCCCGGGACCTTTCAGTCCCCAAACCGATGCTCTATCCATTGAGCCAAACCGGCTTCGGCAGCTACTTTCTTTTTAATGCTGATTTTAATATCCCATTGTCTACATGTGCCACTGTTTATTATCCATTCACCTACTGAAGGACATCTCGTTTTTTTCCAAGTTTTGGGAATCATGAATGCCGCTACAAAGATCGTGGGGCAGGCTCCCTCTGAAGGCTCTAGGGAAGATTCCTTTCTTGCCTCTTCTGGCTTCGGAGGCTGCCAGCATTCCTTGTAGCTGCATCACTCCAACTTCTGCATGTTTGTGCAAGGCCTTTTCCTGTATGTCTATCCCTTACAAGGACATTTCGATCTCTTGAAGGATACCTGTCACTGGATTTAGGGCCCACCCAAGATAATCCAGGATGATCTCACCTTGAAATCCTAACTTAATTACACATGGGAAGATTCCCTTTCTAAATAAGGTCATATTCCAGGAGTTAAGATTTAAAAGTATTTTTCGGGGCTCACCATTTAAATCATATTGAAGGAAATGAATAATAACACTGATGGAAGAGTTAATAATAATGACTAAATTTTTTCATTATGAATTTAAAAAAATTAATTTTGTTCCATTGCTTTGGTTATTTACTTTAGGTATTCCTACCATACCCATCTTGCAACTTTTGTATTTTCCATTTTTTTTCTCCATACCTTTAAAAAATAATCTTTCTTTTTGATTCTTAACATTTTCTCATTTCACCTTCAATGTATTGTAAGTATTGTCAGTTGTATTTGCTTAATGATCTTTTTAACTTAGTCTGTAAATCCAAAAGGCTTTTCCTTTTATTTCTATGCTTTCCTGAATTCTGTAACTTCACTTTTTGGTATAGCAGTTCCTCTAATAACATTGTTTCGTTTAACCTCATCTATACTAATAAAAGGGTAATATGCAGATTGGTCCAGATGCCCTCATGCTATGACAGAACAGCAGGCAGTAAAGGGCAACCAAATGACCAAACAGCAGGCTGCATGGGGCAACCAGGCTGGGAGTAGGGGCAGTGAGGGGGGGCAGTAAGGGGTGACCAGGCCAACAGGGGATGGCAGTTGGGGGCGACCAGGCAGGCAGAAGGTAGTTGGGGGCAACCAGGCTGGCAGAGGAGGTAGTTAGGGGAGACCAGGACAGAAGGAGGGGGGGGCAGTAAGGGGTGACTAGGCTGGTGGGGGGGTGGTAGTTAGGGGCAACCAGGACAGAAGGGGGGCAGTTAGGAGCTAGTGGTCCTGGACTGTGAGAGGGATGTCCAACTGCCTGGGATTGGACCTAACCCAGCAGTTGGAAATCCCCTAAGGAATCCCAGATTGGAGAGAATGCATGCTGGGCTGAGGGACCCCCTCCCCCTAAGCACGAATTTCATGCATGTTATAATGAGGGGGGGGGGAACATCCTCTAGCTTTGTTATAATGAGGGGGGGGGGGAAACATCCATTCCCTGCTAGGGCCACCACTGTGTGGAGACTGCACGTTCTCCCCATGCTATGTGGTTCTTTTCCAGGTGTTGGAAAGTCACAATCAGCAGTAACTCTAGGCTGCAGTAGGAGAAAGCTTTCTAAGTAATGTACACAAAAGAAAACGAATGAATTCAAATTCTACAAACTCCTAGTTCAAAGACTCTCTTATGCCCAAAATGACAACAGTGCTTCTGCTGAGTAACTGACTTATCAAGCAAACCACAAACTGCTGTAATATAACAAATATACATTTATTCAGTCTTCATGCTCAGTTCCTGGCACAGAGTTTCTAAAAACTTTGTAACTTCTAAGTGATGGGTGGTGGGGAAAGGTGGGATAAGAGCATAGTTAGTTATATTTGATTTTTGTCCTGGTTCCTGGCACAGCTACCAAAAACCCTTGTAATTTTCTGAGTGGTTGGGGTGAGAGATTTATGTCTTCTATAATTTGAGTTTATGATAATGCACACACAGAGGATGAAGGCTGGTTGCTAGAACAAGCAACCATGTGATCAAAGGTTTGGAACTTCCAGCCCTAATCCCTGACTTGTGAGGAGGAGCTGGGCTGGAGACTTAGTTAACAATCAATATGTCTATGTGATGAAGCTTTTATAAAAACTCCCAACAACAGGTTCAAAGAACTTCTAGGTTGCTGATCACATGAAGGAACTGGGAGGATGATGTATCTGAAGAGCCATCCCTTCCCCTATACTGTGCCCTTAAGCATTCTTCCTTTGGCTGTTGCTAAGTTGAGTCCTTTATAACAAACTCGTAGCCTGGTTAGTATAAAATGTTTCCACCTGGCTATAAAGCAAGTCATGTTCCTGGGCTGAAGAAACTGCAAGGAGGCTAGTTGTTGCTAGGGAGAGGAAACTGGGTGTTGCTATGTGATGTTATTACCTGGACAGACACTTAGCATATTAGCCTTTTATATACAGACTAGTAATAGTAAGTAACTATTGCTTTCCTAAATCCTATGAGCTCTTCTAGCAAATTATCAAACCCAATGAGGGGGTGACAGAAATCCCCCATTTCAGTCTACGGCCACACCACCCTGAATGTGCCCGATCTCGTCTGATCTCGGAAGCTAAGCAGGGTCAGGCCTGGTTAGTACTTGGATGGGAGAAATCCCCCATTTCTACTTGGTTGCTCAGAAGTACAGAAGGCTTGGGCTTGAAATTGGGATCTGGGATCTAAAATGGACATGGGGGGGGGGGGGCAGAAGTCTTATAGGACTGACCCTGTGGGGTCTGTGCTTACATTAGATAAGTGTTAGCATTGAATTAAAATGTAGGACACCCAGCGAGAATTGGAGAACTGCTGAGTATGGAACACAAACAAATTTTAGCTGTAACACAGAAATGCCTCCCAGTACTACAAAAATCACACTGTCATTTGCTATCTCTATTCACTTTTAAGTGATTTATTGAAATATTAAATGCTAAAGTAACGTTTACTATTATTACACTTTATTTATTTATTTATTTTTAAAATATATTTTATTGATTTTGTACAGAGAGGAAGGGAGAGAGATAGTGAGTTAGAAACATCGATGAGAGAGAGTCATCGATCAGCTGCCTCTTGCACACTCCCTACTGGGGATATGCCCGCAACCAAGGTACATGCCCTTGACCGGAATCGAACCTGGGACCCTTCAGTCCCCAAGCCGACGCTCTATCCATTTAGCTAAACTGGTCTGGGCAACTATTATTACACTTTAAAGCCATTTAAAATGACCTCAAAAAAGTCCAAGTCATAGAAGCAGAGTAGGAAAGTGATTGTCAGGGGCTAGGGAGAGGGATGTTAAAAGGGTACAAAGCTTTAGTTACAAGATAATGAAGCCTAATAATTTAATATAAAACATGGTGATTATAACTGATAACACCATTCTATCTAATAAAAGAATAATATGCAAATTAACCATCACTCCACTATACCCACAAGCCATGCCCGCCAGCCAATCAGGAGCGAGTGCAAATTAACCCGAACCAAGATGGCTGTGGCCACAGAGTCAGCAGGAAGCTTACGTTTCCCAGGCACTGGAGGAAGCCAAGCTTTCTACATACCCTGGTGGGCCCAGCCCTCCATTCAAGGCTACAAAGTTTCAATTATAGAAGATAAATAAATCCAAACAAAAATGGCTGCAGCCATGGATAGAGCAGGAGGCTTGGCTCCGCTCCAGGCTACAAAGTTTCAATTATAGAAGATACATAAATCCCAGATACTAGGGCCTCCACTTGGGTCACTGGGAGGCATGCTCAGCCTGCAAACCACCACAGGCTCATGCCCCAAGGGAACCCCAACCCTGATCCGGGACACCCTTCAGGGCTAACCAGCTGTCCCCCACCTGTGTACCAGGCCTCTATCCTATCTAATAAAAGAGTAATATGCAAATCGGCTGTCACTCCAAAACACAAGATGGCTGCTCCTATGTGGACACAAGATGCCGTCACAAGATAGCCAGCAGGGAGGGTAGTTGGGAGGGACCAGGCCTGCAAGGGAGGGCAGTTGGGGTGATCAAGCCTGCAGGGGAGGGCAATTAGGGGTAACCGGGCCGGGAGAGGAAGGAAGTTGGGGGCAACCGGGTATGTAGAGAAGGGCAGTTGGGGGAGACCCAGGTCTGCAGGGGAGAGTAGTTGAGGACAAGGCCTGCAGGGGAGGGCAGTTAGAGGCAAACAGGCTGGCAGGGGAGTGATTAGGGATGATCATGCTGGCAGGCAGAAGTGGTTAGGGGCAATCAGGAAGGCGAGCAGTTGGGAGCCAGCAGTCCTGGATTGTGAGAAGGGTCCCAGATTAGAGAGGGGGTAGGCTGGGCTGAGGGATACCCCCTCCCTATGCACGAATTTCGTGCACCAGGCCTCTAGTATAATTTATGAAGTGATCTCCCAGTAAGGTGCTTTTCTTAATTGTTCAAGTATCCACTAAGTACAAGGCTGAAGTTAATGATAACAACTAACGTTATTTCTCAGTAGCTTCTACAGCATAATGATTAAGAATCATACTCTGACATTGGACTGGCTAGCTCTGCACTACAACTTTAAGCAGTTTGTCTAAGATTCAGCCAGAAATGTCAGTTTTTTTCACATTTGTAGCATGAGGATAATATAGCATAGACCTCTTTAAGTCCTTGTGAGGATTAAGGATATAACTATAAGTGCTTAGAAAAGTGACTAGAACAAAGAAAGCCCTCCTTATATGGTAGCAATAATAGCAATGATGATGATGACTGTGTTCCTGACAATGAAGTACAGGATGGAAAACTAATGTTTTCAAATTCTACAGCATTTAGTGATGAGTTCCTATAATTTGATAATAAAAATACTAAAATAGCCTGGCCAGTGTGACTTAATGGTTGAGTGTTGCTCTATGAATCAGGAGGTCACAGTCAGATTTCCGGTCAGGGCACATGCATGGATTGTGGACATGATCCCCAGTGAGGGTTTTGCAGGAGGCAGAAACCAATGATTCTCTCTCATCACTGATGTTTCTATCTCTCTCTAACTCTCCTCTCTGAAAAACAAACAAACAAAAAAAACATTTTTAAAAAATCATTAAGATAGTTCAGTTATAAAGTCTGGTAAAAAAAAACAACAAAAAACACAAGACAGTTACTTAATCACTAATTTATTATAAATACTTAATTTTAGAAGCCCCCATGTTTAGGTGAAGTTTTTGGTTAGAGTAAAAAAAAAAAAAAGAATTTAATGAACAAATCTGATCCAAGATCTAGTATTTATTTATTATTTATCATAATATTTTATAAAACATTTTGGTCTCTTCCCGTCCCAGTAACTAGGGTCTCCCTGTTCGGTCTCATACCTGCAATGATGCCAGGCCTTCTTCATTGGCTCTGTGACGGGCCCTTTCCATTTTCAGTAGACTTGACATGTTAGTTAAATCTTTCAGTTTTGGGGCAGGGACTTTTAGGGTTTCAAATATTTGTAGCAATCTTAGGAATAGATTTAAAACACAATTATTAGTTTATTTTTTGAGTACCATTAATATTACTTTTGTTTTGAAATATTGCTGTTATTTTTTTTATTTGCCGTCTTGCTCCCAAAGGCTTCATCTTTATTAAAAGTGACTCACCTTAGCAGTAAGTATCCCCCAAAAAGCCCTGACAAATCATCATTGAACATTTTATTTTTTTAAGATTTACTTAAGCTTCTTCATAAAAGGAAAATTTTCTTTATACATTTAACAATTGCTTATATGCATTTTAAAATAAAAATTTCCTTGTGTTTTTTTAAATGTGCTTTCTAGACTATTCCAGCACATAAGTGTATTATTTATTGTGAATTATTTAGTAAGAGAGGGAGCACTGCTCAATAAATCTTAACAATGAGCCTGGATTCTAAATCTCATTTGTTTTAGAGAATATGACTAATAAAATTACTTTAAAGAAAAATGTCCAGCAGATTTTAAGACAAAACACTGAGATTAAAGTGCTTTATTTTAAAGTACTATCAACATGAATAGTATTAAAGTTAAAAAGTGTCCTTCAAATTGGGTGGATTAGAGCACCAATAAAAGCTGATATTACCAGCCTCACTTCTAGCAGAGAATGATACTGCTTTCCAATATTTGATTCTTGTTTCCATAGTAGCAAAATCTGAATTTGGTTGCTTTTACCTAATAGGAGCACTTAGGGATGCTAAAAAGTTCTACTACTTAATCTGAACAACACTGGAACCTAAGATTTATCTTCCTGGGGTCTTATCAAATTATTAATTTTTTATAAAGAAAAAAGTAGGCAGTAAAACCAATCATAATTTTCATTAAACTTTTAGGATAAACTTCAGTTTTCCAGAAAACCATCATTAGGGTATCATGTTTAAGCATAAATCTTCTCTGTGTAATCTTCCCAAGAGGGTAAGTTTTTGACTTCTTAATGAAAATAAAGTTTCCATTTAAAATCAGTTTCTTTTAAAAGTTCATTAAATCAATTCTGTGGAAGGGTCATCTACTATTCCAATGTCCTAAATAGTGGTCAGATTTTCAGAATTCTTTTAAAACTAATTAAACTAAAGATATAACATGGATACACCCTACTTAGCAATGAGACTAATCACCATTTAGAACATTGTTTCTATATGACAACTTTCCCAAAGCATGTTCCTCTAGAAATTATAGAGTATAACCACTTTATCTGACTAGCAACTGTGTTTGTCTGGTCATCTTGTATGTGTATGATCCAGTCTATATCAATCATAACAGTCTTGCCACAAAAATCAGCCCAAAGACAGGGATAGCATCCAAGCTGGGCCAATTACAGTCTACCTCCTAGAATTTTGTGAATAAAGCTAAGAGGATAGTGTTTTCTTTCTCCTCTTTCTTTACAAGGTTGAAAAGATAAATAGGAAGCTGTCTATGTCTACAATTCTAACCTAGTGAGGGTAATCTTTCTAAAAGAATACAGCCAAATGTAGGCAGAGCAGAGATGAGATTAATAGCCTATCTAATAAAGAGGGAATTTGCTAATTGACCATCACTCCATCACAAAGATGGCTGTACCCACAGCTGAGGCCAAGTTCCCATAAGAAGCCTTAACAAGCAATTAGCAGGGACCTAAGGCTACATCCTCCCCTGCCCCATGGGACTTGACAGGGGACCTCAGGCCCCACCCCCTGCCCTGGCGTCAGGTGGGGACCTCAGGCCACACCCCTCACTCCAGTGCCAGGGGACCTGAGGCCATGCACCCTGCCCAGGGGGGCTTGACGGGGGACCTGAAGGTGTGCTTCCCGTTCTAGTGCTGGGCTAGGGGCCTCAGGCCGTGCCCCCCACTTGTTGGGGCTTGATGAGGAACTTCAGATCCCCCCCTCCCCACCTGGCAGGGCTTAATGGAGGACCTCAGGCTATGCCTGCCACCAGGTGGTGCTTGATAGGAGCCCTCAGGCCGCACCCCCCACCCCAGCACCAAGCCAGGGAATCTGAGGCTGGACAGCCGTGCGTGGCTTGGCTTGACAGAGAACCTCAGGCTGTGCCCCCCCACCCAGTGGGGCTTGATGGGGGACCTCAAGGTGCACCCCAGTGCTGGGTCGGGGGAACTCAGGCCGCGCTCCCACCCAGCAGGGATTGATAGGGGACCTGAGGCTGCAACCCCCCTGCCGGAGGGGTTTGATGGGAAACCTGAGGCTGCACGCCCTCCCCCTCCCACCTGGTGTGGCTTAACGGGGGACCTCAGGCCTTGCCATCCACCCAGAGGGGCTTAGCAGAAAATTTTAGACCATGTTCCCCACCTGGTGAGGCTTGACTGAGGACCTCAAGGCACACCCCCAACCTCAGTCTGGGCTGGGGGACCTCAGGCCATGCCCCCCGTCCTAGTGCTGGGCCAGGGGACCTGAGGCTATGCCCCCTGCCCAGCAGGGTTTGATACTGGTGCGACTGGCTGGGTCTGGATCTAGCCCAATGTGTGTTGTGTGTGTGTGAGGAGGGGGACAGCCAGGTCTGGGTCTCAAGAAATTTTGAGGTGCATGTAGGTGGGAAGAGACTTGACTTTGGGTCCCACGGTGTGCCCGACTCTGACAGGAGGAAAGTTTTCATATACATTTTATTAATTTTCTTTCATCTCTGACACTTCTATTATAGAGAAAGGGCAAATAGCAATATTATTTCCTTTAATGAATCCCCTTATAATGTGCATGAATTTCGTGCACCGGGACACTAGTATGAAGTAAAGAGTCCCTGTGATAAATACTAATTTGGGAGATGCTAGGTTAAGCAAAATAAAATACATTTACTAACTGTAGGACTTTTAATATGCTAATGGATCAAAACATTATTCACAATATATCACTTTTATTCACAGAGTATCTTTAAGAATAAATGTTCCAAATATACTTTGATAAATGCTGCTATAGGAAAATGTATTCAGAGATCCAGTTAAAATAAATTTGCTAAGGCTGTAAACGTTGCTAAATTAGTAAAAGGGAAAGTGTCTTGAATATTAATATTTTGGGGATTAAAGAAAGTGAGCTACAAGAGCAAACACAAAAACAGGCAGTCTTTAAAATATACATCTCCATGGCTGCTACATGATGAAGAGAAAGCCCATGTATTGAACAGAATTTAATCTTTTCTTTCTGATTACCATGGTGAAGAACAGCTATTATGTACTGTCATATTCTCATTTATAAATTAATCATCTGTCCCATATTAAAAAGACCATGAATTAAGCTATCCACCTTTATTATATATTATCTTATTTAGTAGCTTTTTTAGGGCACTCCTTCAATATTAGGCTGTTACTCCTAAAGCCATTTATAGGCCTGCTTATATAAGACTTTCTTTGATCTCTTCAACTTCTCTCCACCAACTCCCACCCCCATCTACCCCATCCCAACCTTTCTATTTTGCTACCTTACACTTTAAGTAAGCAGAATTTGTATTCAGTCTTCTGAAGAATAAAGTACTAGGTTATAAACATTTCTGGGTAATCTAGTAACTAAGATGCAGAACATTCTTCTGTGAAAAGAATACGTGCAAACAGAAAAAAATAATCAGTGAAAATCACTCATAGTGCTGTGACTTTTTAAAAACATAAGAAAAGAAACCTCCATTTGTGACTTGCCACAACAGGAAGAGCAGTAATATTCTGGAAAATTACATGAAAACACAGTGATAGAATAAATAAGAGTGGTGACCTGTTAACTTCAAATTGTTCAAAATGCAGTTGAAGGGAGTTAAAGTTGACAAAATATTGTTCAAATCCCAATTGTTTAAACTTATAGGAGGAGGCATTTTGTCACCTTCAGGTTCTTCCTAATAAATTCTCTTAAACGCAGACTTGCATACCACAGCAATTTAGGATAGAATATATATTCCCAAATTGTTCCTCTGTTTAAAACAACAAAAATCCCAAATGAAAAACTTTTCTATTCCACAAATATCTGTTCTGCAACATAGAGACAGATTAAACTTTTCCTAAATATGTTTTAATTGTTTCCTATTGCATACTATATTACCTTTTCTTCAGGAAGTTGAGATGATACTGAATTTGTTCATTTTCTCTAACTTTGTCACTCAAAATTGCTCTAGAAAAGAAAAAGAGAAAGAATTGAGTAAATATTAGCTTGCCTCTTTCCTAGCCAGGCAGAACCAATCACTTTTTCTTCTGCATACATTTTAAGTGGAGGAATAATCAAAGTGCTTTTTATTATATTATGTTGTTGTGTTTAATTTATATGCCAGACTGTTCTGATGGATTTCAGCTATTTTCTTTGTATCCCCTTTAGAGTGGCAACTTACACATAGTATAAATTTGAACTCAACTTCTTTCTAAATTGTCCATATTGTACGGATCAGGCCACATAGACTTCATTTTTATTTCCCTGATGGAATTCTAAGTTTCTGAAATTAACCAAAACTTTTCTTCTTATGCTAATACCATTGACATTATCTTCTGAAACAGAAAAACATCCTATCACCGTAAAACAGAAAATAAAATTTAAAAGAATACTATCTATAGAAAACATAAGTAGAAATAAAGTTAAGTGAAAACATTTGATACTCACATGATGACTGTTTCCATCATAGTTTGCAAATGCTTTCTGCTACTCTCTGAAAGAGGCTGCCAGGTTTTTCTCCTGCTGGATGCTATCTTTACCTGTCTTAGACTAGTTTGTCCTGGTGAAAGAAGAGACTGGTCAGTCTAGAAGTTTGTATGATTTTAATCAAAAAGTGATTAAAATATAAATTAATCTAAAAATAGCTAATGGATTTAAGAGAACCAAATATTATAAAGCTGTTTAATTTCCTCTTTATTGCACAGCCCTCACATGGCAGGTGTTAAATATGAACATGCTATCTATTGTTATGTTCATTAAAATAATGTTAACAGACACTGCAGATAGAAAACCAGACAATTTTAAGTGAAGAACCAAGCTACACTTATTAGGGTTCAACATAAAAGTATGGTTCTCAGAAATGATCTTAATTAAAGAGTTCGTTAAGACTTGGGCACTTTTTCTACTAAATGCTGGAAGGCAACTGGAACAAAAGAGATTAACCAAATCACAGACAGTGTTTAGTAGACTTTTAACCCAGTTCTATTGAGAAGGGATAAACAAAGGAGATATACTATTGGCTCACATGAAGATTTACTTTGGAGAAAAGAGAGAGTAAATAATTATAAGAACGCCAAGCATTATAAAAGCGGAAGTATTGTGCGCTCTGGAAATATAAAACCAGACGACATAACCTGGTCTTGGGTGAGGAAAGGCAGGCAATTCTTCAAGGAAAAGGTGATATTAAACTAATTTATCCCAAATAAAATCAGGGAGCGGTTCCAAACTAATCTGTACAGTGGTGGCAGAACAAAAACATATTTGTCTTGGGAAATCACTAGGTGCTTCTATGTATCACAGATCAGTAATAATTCAGACTGTGGGACACTTTTTCTTTAGTTCCTATCGATTTTAGAACCCTACACAATATTTTGTTAGCAAAGGTAAATAAAATTTCAGTTGACCAAAATAACTGACTAACCAGTACTACTTATTCTTGCAAAAATGAGAATGTCGCAGTTTGTTACTATCCTTTGTTTTTGCAGAACTCATAAGCAATATACTGATAAATTTTTAATGAATAAAGACAGCTTGAGAAAGGCCAGTTCAACAAGATATAGAAAGGAAATACCTTCAGAAGACAGATGCTTTGGATGATTTTTATTTTTTCCCACTGTATTTTTAGCCTAGAGGGAAAAACAAGGCACATACACAGAAAGAATTAAACATTAGATAAAAAATTTTTGCTATGGCAAAAGATTTGTCATTTATTTGGAAGAGTATTCATATAACTTTGGCTAGGTAGAAAAAAACATATTGCCACTTTCACAGAAAAAGGGTATGTTCTTGTCTCAGGCAAAAAATACAACCAAAGCAACTCCTGGACAATGTGATAATGTATAATAGAATGTCCTATGATCTCAAACAATGTCTTAAAGAAATAATTTCTCATTTTACCAGTGAAATAGTGTTACATACTTAATCTGCAAAAACAAATAGAGTAACTGCCTAATACAAGGTAAAAAGGAGGAAAAAAATGTGATTTAGTAATTTATTCTTTTAGAAGAGATAGTAAAGTCATGGTAGGAAAAAGCTAATTCTCACCGATCTAATTTTTCTCTATCTTAATAAAAATCTTCTCCACCAACTGTGGAGAAGATTTGTCTTTTAACATATAAATGCCATAGAATTTGTATCCTTTATTCCTAGTCTTCCCATTTAAATACTTTAGCAATGTCCTATCACCCACTCCTCCCCAAAGAATTCTGATTAATATCTTCAGAACTGAAGTAAACAATTTTTATTTGAGATCTTTTACAAATCACGCTGTGACAGCTCTCACATAATATGAATTACTATAATTTGCAGTAAAAGTGGCCTTTAGTCTTCATATACTCCTTTACAGAGAAAGATGATATTTTTAATGAGTTCTGGATTATTTTCATTACCTCTTTCTCTGATAACTCCACTTCCTTATCATCAATTTTTCTTTTTGGATTTCTTTTTAACTGTTGAGACCTTTTCTTGGAAGCATATGCTTTGCTAGACATCTTGATCTAAATAGGACAATTCTAACAGTGCTCCAACAAAAATCTGTAAAAATGAAAAGAACAGAAAAATGCCTAAGATTTGCATAATATTTTGTTTAAAAACTACCTATATCTATAAATATTCCAAATTGGCCTTTTAAATATTTAAACGTATCTTAAAACAAATAACATTGATTCTTATTACTTACAATATCTAATTTAATGTCATTGCTAGAAATTTCTTCCATTTGCATGGCTTTAAAAAATTTTTTTAAATGCTTTTGCATATATAACTTTATATTCCTCCAAACAATATCATTATCTCCATATTTAAATCCAAGTATATGGGAATATAAACTTCTGAATTGTCTTACTCTGTTCCCAGATAATTTTCATATCTACTATCTTACAGGTATCACTCAGGTTTCCTTGCTTTAAACTTAATGAATTTATCATTCAACTTATGCCAAAAAAAAAAAAATAGAAGGTAATTTTTAGAATTACACCATGAATCTAACTTGTGCAGATTAATGTGGTAAATTCACTCATAAGGATTTAAGCTATGTTACTGTCTGGGTTATGTGCATTTTAACAAGTGCACAGAAGTATACCAATTCCTCTGTTATCCCACAAATTAAAAAACAGGCACAGGAGTGGAGTGAGAACATCAAAGACAAAATTTAGAACAACCCCCTTGCTCCATCTAATAGTTTTTAATCACCAAATTCATTTCTGCTAAAAGGAACAGAGGAATAGGATATTTATTCTTGCATTAGGTTATAAGGAGTAGATAGCCAGAAATTAGGTACAGTATATATGGAGATATATAAACACATATACATCAATACATAAATTCTTATAGTCCTTTTAAGTATAGAAATTGAGAGTATTGATTTAGAAACTTTTAAAACAATTTGACAATTTTGTCTATATTGAATCTGATCATAAATATTTGGCTTTATTTTTTTCTTTTTACTAGATTTCATATTTCTAGTAATTTATTTTTCCTAAAAAATAGTTTTTTTTAGAGCATTTTGAGGTTCACAGCAAAACTGAGCAGAAAGTACAGAGTTCCAATATACTTGTATACCTCCTCCCACCACCTCCCTTCCCCACCAACATCCCACACCATTTTATGAATCTACATTGATACATGACACCGTGCAGAGTCTGTAGATAGCACGTCAAGCTTGTGGCCTGCGTGCGGCCCGCAACGAATATTTTTGGGGTCCATCCAATATAATGGAATGTAAGAAACATTTTGTAACTTAATTTTTACAATATCCTGTTATACATAACTACAGACCTGGTGCGCAAAATTCAGGAGCCCTAGAGGTATGTCCAACTGTGGACATCCTTAGCCCTGCCGTGGAGGCAGGAGAGGCTCCCACCACCACTGCTGTGCCCACCAGGTGAGCCTGATTTCTGGCTGAGAGGCACTCCCCCTGTGGGAGTGCACTGACCACTAGGGGGCAGCTCCTGTGTTGAGTGTGTGCCCCCTGGTGGTCAGTGCACCTCATAGTGATCAGTCATTCTACCGCTTGGTTGATTTGCATATTAGCTTTTTATTATATAGGATTATTAATAAGGAGCTACAACGTTTACTAATGACTGATTACTATAATCGTGTTGCATTCATTTCCCTTACGTGCCTTCTGTGCAGGTGCACCATTTCTCCATTAATACTAGCAGTGAATATTTTAGCAGTCGATTGCCATGTCACTAGTCTTGGAATGATTTGTTTGATGTGCGCCAAAGGAAACATTTCTCTTTTGGAGAACAAGAAAAATAGGTTTATTTGCATTACCCTTAATTTGTGCAGTTATTCAGTGTCTGGTAAGTTAATGTTTAGGAAAAAATATTAATTTTTATTAAAATGTTCTATTATTTTATGTTAACAGTTACTCATTTATTTCAGCCTTTTGTATTCATTATGTCTCTTTCGAAATAAACCTGTTTCTATGAAAATTGAAGCTTTTGTTTTTTGCAGCCCACATAAACTTAACCTTATTTGGCTCGTGTTAGCCTTTGAGTTTGACATGCTTGGTCTATAGTAGACATTAGGATTCCTTCTTGGTGTTTAATATTCTATGGATTTGATTAGCAATTCATTTTTAATTGGATTTTACAAGCGTCAGATGAGACTGATTAAAAATTAAAAAACAAAAATTAGTCCTTTATCACAGTTTGAGACACACCATTATCACTGAAACCTACTTGGAGCAATAAACCATATTGCAAAAAGTTTCTCAACTTTGGCACTACACTGTATTCACAATGGGAATGGGATAATTCTTTGTTGTGGGTGCTGGCCTGGGCACCGTAGGATGTTTAGCAGTATTCCTGGCTTCCACCCACAAGATGTTTAGTAGCACCTTCCCAGTTGTGACAGCCAAAATTATCTTCAGACATCAAATGCCCCTGCAGTGAAATCGCCCTGGGTTGGGAACCACTGCCAACAGTGAGCCAGGAGTGAGAATACGTTGCCCAGGTTCCAATACGTTATCCTGGCTCTGCCATTTATCTAGCTGCAGAGCCTTGGCCAAATAAATTTGCTCGCTTTCCCACTGGTAAAATGGGTTAGTAAAAGTACCAACACCAAAGGCTTGTGTAAAGCTAAAAGTCTGTACAGAATACATCAACTGCCTAGAACAATATCTGGGATATAGCTAAAAAAAAAAGGGGGGGGGGAGGGAATAGAATTTTTAGATCCACAGGAAACCACAGCCTAGTGGCAGTGGGTACAGGCAGATACAAAAAAGCATTTATTATTTACAGTTATATACAATGTGACAAAAGTTTCAAGACAAATGAGTGAATGACTACCTCAAGATGGTGTGCGCGAGAGAATATACAGTATTCAGAAAAAAAAATTAATATATGAGTTACAGTTTGAAATACTGAGCCAGAAGAAGAATGACGTTTTGGAGAGAAAAGAGCGAACACCCGATGACAGGACAGCCCGGAGACTGGTGCGTTCAGCGACACTTGAACGTGCATGGGAGGACTGGACAGGAATCCTAGTAACTGGAGCGGTGGCGTGGGCCAGACCTCATTTTGCAGTAAGAACGTATGCTTCACGGTGAGGGACACAGGGAGGCACCCGAGGTTGCCTCGTTTCCTCCCTAGCTCGCTGAAACTCGTGGAAATCAAGGATCTCCATCTAGACCTCGCTGAAACACAAACACAATGTTTACCTCTGGACAATGACGCCAGGGGCCGCGACCGCAGGAGCCTCTAGGGCCAGACCACAGTCTCCCGCCACGGGCTGGGAGGACCAGCCGAAACCGGTTTGGCTCAGTGGCTAGAGTGTCAGCCTGTGGACTGAAAGGTCCCAGGTTCGATTCCGGTCAAGGGCATGTACCTGGGTTGCGGGCACATCCCCGGTAGGAGGCGGCAGATCGGTGTTTCTCTCTCATCGATGTTTCTAGCTCTCTACCTTTCTCCCTTCCTCTCTGTAAAAAATCAATAAAATATATTTAAAAATTTGTGACACTGTTAAAAAAAAGGGGGGGGGGAGAAAGGAGGACGAGGGTGAGGATGAGCCGGGGAAAGGAGGGGTGAGCCAGCGTGGCTCCCATTCCCTCCTCACGAATTAAAATAATTCAATCCGTGGCCCGGCTCGCATCCTCTCTCCTCACCATCACTTTGGAAAAGTCACCTCACGCTTCTCGAATGCAAACGGCGGAGTTGGCCACGACCGGGTCGGTCGCAGAACTCCCGCTCCCCCGCACCCACGGGCAGGGAACGGCTTTCACTACTCACCGGCCGGCCCTCCGGAACCAGTCCCGCCGCAACTCGCGCCCAAACAATCAAACCGGGCAAACCCGGAAGTGGACGGGTAGAGACCGGAAACGCCGCTAGCCGGAGGCGGGCGGCTAGCTACACCCTGACGTCATCAGGAGCGCGCCCCCGAACGCGCGAGGTGATTGGCTGGGAGGAGGGCGTTGTCGACCTACGCCCCCCGACCGGCTCGCTCCGGGGGCCCAGCTGTGTGGACCTCTGGCTGGTGGGGCCGGGGGCGTCCAGCGGCCGCCGCGCTCTCCCGAAGCCCAGGTCCCGGACCGAGCTGCCAGTGAGTAGGACTGAGCACCTTGGGGCACGTCAGCCTTTTCAGTCCCTCCATCTTCTGGCTGCTTTCTCCCCGTCACCCCCGTCCTCTGCGCCTCTGACCTCTCCACCCTCCCAGCTTCTGCCTTTACGTCCTCTCGCTCGGACGGGATCCCGCTCTCCTCTTCCTTATCTTTGGGTTTAGATTCGCCACTGACCTCGCTTCTCTCCGTGAGGCCCCTGGGGGTTCAGAGGTGCTGCTGGGAAAGTGTTGTTAACGGGGAGGGGAGGCCATGTCGCCATTTCCCCTGGCCACCCAAGCACCCCGAGGTTCCTAGGCAGAGGTCACTTGTTATGGCTCCAGAAGGGGGTGTGGGCTCCGCATGTCACTGTGTGTGTGTGTGTGTGTGTGTGTGTGTGTGTGTGTGTGTTAGAGGTGGCGGTCCGCAAAGGGACTTTCGGTATCCAGGTAACGGAAAGACAGATCGAAGTTGACGTAAAATTGTAAATGACTAACTTGGTCTCCGTTCTCTCTAGAAAGAGAGCATTATATCCGAAGGTCGAAAACGTGGATAGTGTACGTGTGGTTTTAGATCACTTGATTCCTCCCCCACCCCCCTCCCCCGTATGTTATGTTTAATGATTTATTTAGGCTAGTATTTAATATGCATGTTCTATGTTGTCATCTTCAATCCAAATTTGCTGAACATTGGAAATTGGTTAGTCATTTTAAAAAATTTTTTTTTTAAATTGATTTCAGAGAGGAAAGGAGGAGGAGGAGAGAGAAACGTCAATGATGAGAGAGAATCATTTATCAGCTGCCTTCTGCATGCCCCCTACCGGGGATGGAGCCACCAACCGTAACCGGTTGGTCCATAGGTCCACGCTCAACCACTGAGCTGTGTTGGCAGAGTAGAGGTGAATAGTTATTAAAATATTAATGTGGAGCTACATGTAAACAGCCAAAACTTGAAGGTTATTTGCTTTGCAAGTTGCTTCTTTGAATGTTTGAAGCTTCTCTTTAAAAAATGTTTTTATTGCTTTCAGAAAGGAAGGGAGAGGGAGAGAGATAGAAACATCAGTGATCAAAGGGAATCATTTATAGGCTGCCTCCTGCATGCCCCCTATTGGAGATCCAGGTGGCAACCCGGCATGTGCCCTGACTGGGAGTCCAACCGTGACCTGCTGGTTCATAGGTCCTCACTTGATCACTGAGCAATACGGGCTGGATTCAAACGCTCTCTTTGATGGGTTTTGAGAAAATTTAGAAGTCCTGTTGCCATCAGCAGCACTTGTGTGCTTATCTAAAAACTAGAGGCCCAGTGCATAAAATTCATGTGTGGGGGGGTGTCCCTCAGCCTGGCCTGCACCTTCTCGCAATCCAGGACCCCTTGGGGGATGTCTGACTGCCGGTGTTTAGGCCCCATCGCAAAGGGATCTAAACTGGCAGTCGGACATCCCTCTCGCAATCCAGGACCGCTGGCTCCTAACCGCTTGCCTGCTTGCCTGATTACCCTTAACTGCTCACCTGCCTACCTGATTGCCCCTAACCAGTCACCTGCCTGATTACCCTTACCTGCTTGCCTGCCTGCCTGATCGCCCCTAATCATTCGCCTGCATGCTTGATTGTCCCTCACCTATCTGCCTGCCTGTTTGATCGCCCCTAACCACCTCTGCCTTGGCCCCCACTGCTGCGGCTTCATCAGAATGACGTCTAGAAGGTCATTAGGCCGTCTGGTCTAATTATCATATTACACATTTATTATTATAGTCTAGAGGTCCGGTGCACGGATTCATGCACTGGCAATCCAACATCCCCCATAGTAGTAGTGCACGAAGTGGCAGGCGGCTGGGGAGGAGCCCAAGCCTGGCCGGGCACCACTCTCACTCATTCTGGCCCCGCTGCACCCACCACAGCACAGTAGTGCTGCCCCGGAGGAGGGAGAGGCTTGCACCAACACAGCTGCTCTTGCCAGCCCTGAGCTTGGTGTCTGAGTGGCGCTCCCACTGTGGGAATGCACTGACCACCAGGGGGCAGCTCCTGCATTGAGCATCTGCCTCCTGGTGGTCAGTGCATGTCATAGCTACTGGCTGGTCATCTGGTCGCATATATATATATATATATATATATATATATATATATATATATATATATCTCCTATATAATAAGAGAATAATATGCAAATTGACCATATATTTGCTACACCCACAATCCATGCCCACCAACCATGCTCACCAGCCAATCAGAGTGAGTATGCAAATAAACCCAACCAAGATGGCTACAGCCACAGAGAGCAGGAGGGAGGCTTGGGTTTCCCTGGCAATGGAGAAAGCCAAGCTTTCCGCCTGCCCTTGCCAGCCCAGGCCTCCACTCAAGGCTTCAAAGTTTCAATTATAGAAGGTAAACAAATCCAAACAGAAATGGCACAGCCACTGAGCAAGCAGGAGGCTTGGCTCCGCTCCAGGCTACAAAGTTTCAATTGTAGAAGATACATAAATCCCAGATACCAGGGCCTCTGTTTGGGTCACCAGGGGATGTGGCCTGCCTGCAAAGCACCACAGGCCCCTCACCCAGGCCACCCCACACCTCAAGTGAACCCTCACCCTGATCTGAGACACCCTTCAGGGCAAACCAGCCAGCCCCCACCCATGCACTAGGCCTCTATCCTATCTAATGAAAGAGTAATACCCTCTAATAAAAGTTGGGAATTTTTATTTTCTTTTAAGCTTTACTACAGGTTAGAAATGGTATGGAAACTAGAATTTTAAGTTTACATTACTTCTTGACTTATCTATTATAAAACAACATGGCATGATGAATATATTATAAAATTTGCATATCAGAATATTTTAAAATACTAGCTTCTAACAAGTAGCAATTCAGATAAATAGTTTACTGCTTTGTGGAATTTTGATCAAGCTATTTTATTTCTTTATTTCTGTGGACCTAAATTTCTAGCTATGTAAAATGATGAAATTGGACTTAATGGGACTTAGATACCTAGTGTAAGACTCTGTGCTAGTTTTAAGGGATATGTAGCTCTAATGTCAGACTAGCAGTGTATAGACTATCCTCTATATATAGAGAGATGAATATATGATTTTATATACATGTATTTTATGTAGATATCAAATTATCTTACATAAATAAATGCATTTTATAGAAGCATAAAAGATAGTGTTCTAATATGTTGTCACATGGAAGATGATCTTTCTATATAAAAGGCTAATATGCTAAGTGTCCTTTCCTCCATTTGGGTAATGACATCATGTAGCAACACCCGGCTTCCTCTCCCTAGCCTCCTTGTAGTTTCTTCAGCCCAGGGACACTTTAGCCAGGTGGAAACACTACACTGTAACCAAATGTCTGTGAAGCAATTTCCCATGCCTCATTTAATCCTCATAGAAGTCCTGGAGTAGCTAGATAGGAGACTTGGTGGAATCCTATTTTCTTTTCACTAGCCAGAAAATGGAGATTTAAAAAGCTTAGAAACTCCACCCAACTGAAAAGAAGTAAGAAATGGTGGACCTTGAAAATGACTTAAGGTTTTCTTACTGCCCAGAATATAGTAAAACACTACTGCAGTTAAATATTTTACCCTTTGTTCTCCCTGCGTGACCTACAATAATAATCTGCTTCATGTTGATATTTACTGCTGTGTTGCTGACAATTACCTGAAAGAGAAGTTGGGATGCTTCACTGGGCTGGAAAAAGTTTAGCTAAATCAGAAAGCAGGTCTAATTGAGCAAGTTCTATATCTATAAAAGGCTAAGCTGATTCATGCATGCGCAATACATATTAGCATAAAGCTCTTGCTGGTGCCAATCGCACACATGTGTTTTGATCTGTCATTGTCAATTGTGAATTTGGTTGACACTACTATTATAGAGAAAGGGCGAATAGCGACATTAAAATATTTCTTCTAATTAATTTCCTTTTTAAAAAAATATATTTTATTGATTTTTTACAGAGAGGAAGGGAGAGATATAGAGAGCTAGAAACGTCGATGAGAGAGAAACATTGACCAGCTGCCTCTTGCACACCCCCTACTGGAGATGTGCCCACAACTCAGGTACATGCTCTTGACCAGAATCGAACCTGGGACCTTTCAGTCCGCAGACCGACACTCTACCACTGAGCCAAACCGGTTTCGGCTAATTAATTTCCTTTCAATGTGCACAAGGGAAACGGAGTTCTGTGGATTACTGAAGAGGCTATTAAGCCCAGTTTAGGGATTCAATGAGAGGCTGTGAGTGAGTATATTAGTTCAACTTAAGGCTTTTGAAATGCGACTGTCTAGACTCAAATGCTGACTCTTTTGTGCCTCAGTTTCCTTGTCTGTAATAAAATTAGTACCTATTTCTTAGTGTTGTGAAAATTAAAATTGGTACTTTATGGATGAAGTTCTTAGAACGTGCTGGGCCCATAGAAAGCCTTGTATATTTGAGATGATGCCTTAGCTTAATTAGCCAAATAAGAACATTCTAGGCAGGTGAGAAAGCAAGAACAATTCAAAGAACTTTGACATATGCAGGGAACTGTGGGTAATCCAGTATCTATAGAACACAAATTGTCTAGAGGACAAAGGCAGAGATGAGTGAGAGGCAAGCAGGTCGTGATGACCTTAAATGCCTGTTTGTCTTCTTTACCACTTTTTATCCAGCAGCCAACACAATGCCTGTCATTAAATAAGTGTTAAATGAAAACCTTTTGAATGAAAAGAATCAATTAAGATGCTATATACTATATCCTTTATACAATGCAGAGCCTTTGAAAAGTCTATAAGAGTAGTGTAACATCAGATTTGCTCTGCTGTCAGAGTGTAGAATAAATTAGAGGGGCCAAGACTGGTTAGTAAAATCAGCTAAGAGGCTATTGAGAAAGAAGACTAGAACGATAACAGTAGTAGTGAGAAGACTGGCCAGTTATAAAGTATCAGATACAGGAAGCAGAAAAGAAGAAGAGATAAAATCATACTAATATACCTTCTTCCTTCTCTTTTCTCACTAATAGCTCCCATTTTGTCTTTCTCTTATAAATAAATATACACTGTGTTTTTTTTCTAGGTCAGTTTTTGATTCTGCTGTGTGTTTTCCATGCTCCATCATGTTGAGGGCTAAGACTCGGCTTGTTTTGCTTTCACCTCATCATCTGAAGCAACTAAAAGAGTCATCAGGCTCCAGACTTATATGGCAGCGACTTCTACATCAAAAACAACCCCTTCACCCAGAATGGGCTGCCCTGGCTAAAAAGCAGCTGAAAGGCAAAAATCCAGAAGACCTAATATGGCGCACGCCAGAAGGGATCTCCATAAAGCCCTTATATTCCAGCAGGGATACCAAGGACTCACCTGAAGAACTTCCAGGAGTGAAGCCGTTCACACGTGGACCATATCCCACCATGTACACCTTTAGGCCCTGGACCATCCGCCAGTATGCTGGCTTTAGTACTGTGGAAGAGAGCAATAAGTTCTATAAGGACAATATTAAGGGTGAGATTTTAATGAGATATAATATTTATGATCAAACATACACTTTCTCATCTTGGCTTCTTTTTGAGGAGAGGTTGGTTTATTTCTGTAAAGATAATAGTTATTTTATAATTTTGTAGTTTAGATTGTATTCTGAAAACAGCGAATGGTTTTCAACCTCCATGGTCAAAAGATAGGTGAGCCAGAATAAAATACTCAATTCTAGAAAGCAAAAAACACTTCCATGCACATTGTGTAAAAGAAATTAGGTGAAATGAAATTGTAAGAAGAAAAGAGACATTGGCTTTGCCTTTGAAAAGTTTTAATAAACATTATTTTAGAGTAGGAATTGGAAGATAAAATGGATTAAGTGATGTCCAAAGAAAGTAATAAATAATAATGTGATATAAATATATTCAGTGTAATCTGGCATTCATTCTCTGAAAATCGTATTTACTATTTCTTCTTTCTGATCTATTATACAGTCATATTGTTTGAATGCTGGACTTGAGAGTCTATAAGTTTGTATTGTCCATAGAGGATTGAACTTATACTTAGTGTAGACTATTTCAGTTTTTCGCATGATTTTCATAGTTTCCCAGAATATTTGAATAGCCAAAACATCCTGTAATGACCATATTAAATTAACAAAAATGAATAAGTGAGCATTGAAATACTAAATACTGTTAACTATATATAAACAGCCAAATCTTGACATGAATCATCAACATATTTCTATCAAAAACGGTTAAGATACAAAAAAATCGACAAATGGATGTGACATAAATGAGTGTTTTGTTTCTTTCATTCTGATAGTGAGGTCTGGAGCTCAATTTGTGCATTTTAGCACATGGGAAACAATTGACTGTGTTAGGAAATAAAATATCTATTTAAATTTGTTTTGACATTTCCAAATATAAAAATGTTTGTTATAGAAGTATACTATGATGAGATGAATCATCACTTAGTTGTGTTAGGCAAATCAGTTAACTTCTATGCCACACTCTTTCATCTTAATTTATTTTTTCTTTATATATTTAGCTGGCCAACAGGGATTATCAGTTGCCTTTGATCTGGCAACACATCGTGGCTATGATTCAGACAACCCTCGAGTTCGTGGTGATGTTGGAATGGCTGGAGTTGCAATTGACAGTGTGGAAGATACCAAAATTCTTTTTGACGGAATTCCTTTAGAAAAAATGTCAGTTTCCATGACCATGAATGGAGCCGTTATTCCAGTTCTTGCAAATTTTATAGTAACTGGAGAAGAGCAAGGTGTACCTAAAGAAAAACTTACTGGTACGATCCAAAATGATATACTAAAGGAGTTTATGGTCAGAAATACTTATATTTTTCCTCCAGAACCATCCATGAAAATTATTGCTGACATCTTCCAATATACAGCACAGGTATCTTTGTGTTTATTATAGGTTTTTCTGTAGTTCTGTGAATGTAGGAATTTTATAAAATACCATAACCTAATTTGAATTCAGTAACTGACTTCTGAGTAATACTTATTGTAGTATAAAAGTCAGATATGAGCTTTTTTTTTTGTCTTGTTTTTGTGTATGTGTTTTGTAAGTTTTTTTTTTTTTTTTGTCTTTCATGTATTAATGTTATGATCTGTCATTAGCTGTAGAAATCTGGACACTAGATATTTACTATATGTTTTTATTATTAAAATTTTTATAATCAGAGAGGGTCCATAATTTATATTTCTTCATTTCTTCAGTTGTGAATAGATACTGGTATCAGACAGATGGGGGATCAAAATATCAGCTTTATTTATGCTGAAAATTGGGTTAGAACAGCAATTTTCAACCACTGTGTCTGAGATACACTGTTGTGCTGTAAGAATTTTTAAAACATGCAATATCTGACTATTTAGTCACAGGCATTGACCTCTTTTATCTTAGATTATCAAATAAAAAATGACAACAGCCGATACAACAATGGCCATCTGGTGTGAATGAATAAAAAAAATAGAGCTATTTTCTTGATAGATCAGCAAAATATATATTTTTTTGGTGTGTTGCAGTATTTTAGTAGTTTATGTATGCCATGACATGAAAAAGATTGGAAATCACTGGGTTAGAAGATATCACTTATATCTGCAACTAAAATGAGGCTCCTAATATTTCACCCCTGAATTAGGTTCATCTTTCTCAATCAGAGTGGTGGGAAAATAAGGCCTTAAAATGTTCTTATATTAACAGCAGTACCTCCACAGAAAACCCGGCATCTTAATTCCCCTTTGGGTAATTCATATATATATATATAATCTCCCCCCATCATTCTCACTTTGCTTTCAAAAATAGATATATAATTTAAGCATTTAAAAATAGTTTTTATTGATTTTTAGAGAGAGAAGAAGGGAGAGGGATAGAGAGATAGAAACATCGCTGAGAGAAACATCATCAATCAGCTGCCTCCTGCACACCTTGTACTGGGGATCGAGCCCAAAACCTGGGCATGTGCTCTGACCAGGAATCAAACTGTGACCTTTTGGTTTTTGGATTGATGAGCAACACTGGCGGGTCTCTCTTTGTTTCTTGATGGCAATACCCTCCTTTTCCTTACCAACCTTAAAGTTAGACCACTGTTTCATAAAGGGCAAATTTCACTTCCACCATCAAATCTTTATCTCTTTTACCTCTTATCATTGCTATTATCTCAGAACTCTTACAACTATTGTATACTCTCCTCTTTGGAGATTTAGCCTCTACACTTTGCAATTTTATTTTTTTTTCATAGATTTCATCTGTCCATGAAAATGATATTGTATAGAATTGTACATTTCCATCACCCTTTTCAATATTGAGAACACATGCCCAGGAGGATAGCATATGACAAACCAGATAAACAAAAAATAGTGGTTTATACTAAACAGGAGGCAGTTCTCTTTTATGTAGAAGAAGAAGGTGGGTTGTCAGAAACCACCACAGTCATAGGGTTCAAGTCTCCTTTCACCTGGCTTCTCCTCTGGTGTTAGAGTGCCAGCTCATGGGCCAGGTGTATTAGTATGATAAAAGGTAAACTTCCTGAAGGACAAACCAAATTTCTACTTGTATGCCTCACTGGAGACACACCAGTAGTGAGAGAAGATTAGAAGTTCAATTCTGGACATTGGCACTCTGAATTTATAGTGCAGGTATTATAGGAGAGTGGAGAATATAGCAGTCTGTGCTGCCATGCTTGTACATTTCACCTTGTAAAAGATCCTAATGTCATCTACAAGCTCAAAATTGCTTTATATATAGTCCTTCATATAAATGATAAAAGTGCCAGTTTTGGATATTGATCAAATAATGTTGTATTAAAGTGTTTGTATACTGGAAACTTTCGTATTATGTTTGGTTAATTTTCGGGAAGGATAATAATTTTTTGGCTCTTAAGAATATGTGTGATATATGATATTCCATCCTATCTAATATGAAATTTTAGGAGAATAGTGGAAATGCTGTTTTCTTAGTGATTATGGTAGAAAGAATCTGTCTGAGGTATGTATAGCATTAAATATCTCAGTAAATTAAACTAAAATCTTTGATTTTTGCCACTCATTTTATCCTCCCCCCCCCCCCAATAATTAGTGCATGGGATTGAATAATTTTCCCAATTGTTCCCACACTGTGTATTTACTCATGTTCAATGACTTCATTCAAATAAGTTAATTAATAACAAAAAAATCACAATTAAATTTATACATTCAGCAAATTAGCCCAAAGTTTTGAGGTCTTAGGACCTCTTTGGAGATTGAAGTCATTGGTTTTGAATTAAAAATGTCTTTATTCAGTTCTTAGGGCAAAGGTTACATTCCTGACCTTAGCCAGCTAATTTTGAAGTTTAAATTTTTGGTGTTAAAGGTGATGGTGTTAAAAGGTTCATTAGGTCAGTCATTTAAATTGGTAAATGAATTAAATGTAACAAAGTAAGCATTAAATATTTTCAGTTAATGTTATGAGCTATTACTTAGTATATCGGAGTTGGACAACATTTAAAAATAATATTGTTTTACAAAATAGATTTAATAGAACCTTTTAATATTTTTATTCAGCCTTGTGTTTTTATTTTTTATGTAGCACATGCCAAAATTTAATTCAATTTCAATCAGTGGATACCATATGCAGGAAGCAGGAGCTGATGCCATCTTGGAACTGGCCTATACTATAGCAGATGGGTTGGAGTACTGTAGAACTGGAATTCAAGCTGGCCTGACAATTGATGAATTTGCACCAAGGTGGGTAAATTAAACTCGGATATTGCCTCAACATTAAGAAGATGCATAGGACTATATTATGAGCATACACAGCAAAATATATTGATAAAATGAACTTGTATATGTGTTATACTATATTCTATTGTTTTATTAAAGTGTCAATGAGAGAATAAGTCAATATTGTTCATAGTTAAAAATCAGAATGAAGTTTGACTATACTTTTTGGTAAATAAGAAGAATCTTGTCCCCTGTGATATTCAGAGGATACAATTAACTGGCACGTCTTGACAAATAATATTAAAATGTGAATATAATGCTTAAGATAGATTTGTTTTTATATTTGTTTGTTTATTTATTTATATTTTTTATTGATTTTAGAGAGAAAGGGAGAGGGATAGAGAGATAGAAACAATGATGAGAGAGAATTATTTATCGGCTACCTCCCACATGCCTCCTACCAGGGATCAAGCCCGCAACCCAGGCATGTGCCCTTGGCTGGAATCAAACCCAGGACCCTTCAGTCCATAGGCCGACACTCTATCCACTGAACCAAACCAACTAGAGCTGTTTTATTTTTTTAATGGAAGTTTAAAATACAGAAATCACCTACTACATTTTAGTTTTTCGTCTGTTGCACTTATAAATTTGGAATGCACAATGCTATTAAAATTTTTCTTTCAAACACCTTGTTAATAAAATTGTATGAAAACATGAATAAACAAATTAAGTTTATGAAGCATTTAAATATGGAGATTAAAATCAGTCTGATGAGCAATAATAACATGCTAAGATTTGCTCTGGGCCAACCACTAAGAATGTAGCATGTGAAAAATCTGGTTTCTGCCCTCAGAGTTTATAGACTAGTAAATGCTCATATGAGGGGTTGTTGCATACTTATTATGACAGCAGTTCTCAAAGTGTGGTCCAAGAATCCCTGGGAGTCATTGAAACACTTTTCTGGGTTTTAAAGGTCAAAAGGGATTTCATGATTATATTAAGAATTTGCTACTTTCACTTTGATTCTCTCAAGAGTATGCAATGGTTTTCAAAATCTACTTGATATGTGATGTAACAGGTTAAATGCAGAAGCAGATATGTGACTCCAGCTTCTTCCTGGCACCACACATTAAAGAGATTTGAAAAAAAGTACATCAGTGACTCTTAAAAATTTTTTGTTTTAGAAAAGAATTATATTTAATGAAAATGTTACTTATGTTAATAATTTTGATTTTTTATTTCTAAATGAATTAATATATAAAATATTGATGTTATCCAAATAAATAACTTTTCTTTAGTAATTTTTAAGAGGTAAAGGAAGCCTGAGACCAAAATATTTGAGAACTGCTGTGTTAAGAACTTCCAGCTAGGTGAAATAAAAAACAAAACAAACAAGCAACTCATAGACACAACAGTATGGTGATTACTAGAAGAAAAGAGGTTGGGGAGGTAGAAGAGGATATAGGAGGGATAAATGGTGTTGGTCGTAGACTTGGCTTGGGGTGGTGATCACACAGTATAATATATAGATAACATGTTATAGAAATGTACACCTGAACCCCATATAATTTTATTAACCAATGTCACCTCAATACATTCAATAAAAATAAAAACAAAAACTTCCAAGTATATATCAAGAATTTTTTATTGTGTTTTAGTTTCTTTACTTAAGTCTCACCTTGTTTTATATAGGGGTTCACAACCTTTTTGATTTTACACTCAGGCAAGTAACTTAAATGTGTATAGCTCATAATGTAAAAGAGAGTAATGGGTTGGGAATATTTGGAAAAATATATGCCTAAACCAAGTATATGCCTAGATAGTCATTCTTTAAAAAAAGCAACAACACTTAAATTGCTATTTAGACAATCAAGCTTGTAGTTTTATTCCTTTTGTAAGTGACCCCTGTCTTTGGGTATTCTTAAAAAATATTTATGTGTGTATTGTGAATAATTCTTTAAGGACACAAGAGGGCTTTTTTTTTTTTCTTTCTAAAAAATCAACAACACAATTATAAAGTGAGTTCATTCTTACCTGAAGCAAATAATCACAGCCATTTCTTCTGCATGCATAAAACTGTACTTTTATATGTTTGGTTCAAAGTTACTAAAGTATATATGCTTGATTTTAATTTAAATTAAGTAATGAAATTAAAATCTGACATTGTTTTTAGTGTTTGATACAATTTGTTTTATTTTCCATTTTATATTGTTAACTATAATTAAAATTTGGACTTAACATTACTATTTTAGGTTGTCTTTCTTCTGGGGAATTGGGATGAACTTCTATATGGAAATAGCAAAAATGAGAGCTGGAAGAAGACTCTGGGCTCACTTAATCGAGAAAATCTTTCAGCCTAAAAACTCTAAATCCCTTCTTCTAAGAGCACATTGTCAGACATCAGGATGGTCACTTACTGAGCAAGTATGCATATAATTTAAAGTATAGAATTTTAACAAAACCATATACTTTCTTGTAAGCAACGTGACCCAATCAGGAAATAGATTTAAGAACCTATCCACTAATATTTGAAAATAATTATTAATCTGAAGCATAATTCATACTTAACACATTCATACTTGTTTTTACACATATTAAAATAAATAAAATAGTCTCCCTCTAGTGGTTAACAGTATAAAATCAGCTTAACATGTTTTACTTTTCTTTATTTTAAAATTTTTATTGATTTCAGAGAGAAAGAGAGAGGGAGAGAGAGATAGAAACATAAATGATGAGAATCATTGATTGGTTGCCTCCTGCACATCCACTACTGGGGATCAAGCCACAACTCAGGCATGTGCCTTTGACTGGAATCTAACCCGGGACCCTTCTGTCTGTAAGTTGATGTCCAATCCACTGAGCCAAACCAGTCAGGGCATATGTTGTATTTTTAAAGGGGAAAAGCTGTGGTGAGGAAGAAGTAGAAATCATAATTTAATGCTATTGTTTTAAATAATTTTAAGGATGAAAATTCTTAACATAAAACGGCCTAATTAAATTGATTATATATATTTACTAATTATAGTTGTATGTTTAAATAAGCATGCATGCAGACAGAGCATTTAAAAACTATTATCACTTGGGTAATTTAATTTCATTCTATTAAAATTTTTATGGTGGTCTATTTTACATGCACTTTTCTTTATAAGAGTTTTTTGGATAAATTTTAAAATAATTTTAGCTTTAGAGTTAGATTGTTTTTATATATTTAAAAGTGAATACAACAAATATGCTTCATATTAAATGTCATGTCATATCCTTATAAATGGAGAAATACAGACTTCAGGATTCGAAGGAACTTTAATAATTGCTTTTGTCTTAAACTCCTCATTTTTACAGCTAAGGAAATTGAAGTCCAGAAAGGTATTGTGCTCCCAAATACAACAAGGAGCACAATAACTCATTTATTGGGAGCCTGTTTTGGGTACATCTTGTGGCAGATACTCAAAGTATACTAAATAATTAGGAGATAGTGAATTATGAAATGAAAGATAATATAATCTAAGTAGACAAGGTATACAGTTATGATACACTTATAGAAGAGTAAGGAATACAAAAGTAAAAACAACAAATATTTAATATTTCAGGGATTATAAGAGGTAATATTTTTTAGTGCCTACAAACAGACTAGACACTTTGACTCTTAGTTCTAAGTCTGGCTCATTTACTATTTGTCTAAATTTATTTGATATTTTGAAGTCTAATGTAGACATATATATGTATATAAACTGTTGCCTTTTTTTTCATTAAATATTTTAGGATCCTTACAATAACATTATCCGTACCACAGTGGAAGCAATGGCAGCGGTCTTTGGAGGGACTCAGTCTTTGCACACAAATTCTTTTGATGAAGCCTTGGGTTTGCCCACCGTGAAAAGTGCCCGAATTGCCAGGAACACACAAATCATCATTCAAGAAGAATCTGGGATTCCCAAAGTAGCTGATCCTTGGGGAGGTTCATATATGATGGAATCTCTCACAAATGATGTGTATGAGGCTGCTTTGAAGGTCAGTTTAAATCTCTTTGAAACTTTGATTTCAAGATTTACAGGTTTATTCAGATTTATAGATGTTTTGATTTATAAACAAATCATTTACAGATTTATTTTAAGATTAATAAAATGTTTGATGGAGAAGAATTTTAGATTTGACTTTCAAGTATTTGAAACTGAAATGTAACTTAAAAATACACGTGTATTTGCCGTAGCCACTTTTTTTTAAAATAAGTTTTTATTCATATTATTACAAATGTTCCATTCCCCCTCCCCCCCACCATTGCTCTCCTCCACCAGGTTCCCACCCCACCCTCTGCCCTTTCCCCACTCCCCATTGTCCTCATCCATAGGTGCACAGTTTATGTTCAGTCTCTTCCCACATCCCCCTCTCCTCTTTTCCCCAAAAATAGTTCACTCCCCTTTCATACCTCTGATTCTATTATATTCAACAGTTAATATTGTTCATCAGATTTTTTTTTAATTTCCTTGGTTTTTAGATTCACTTGTTGATAGTTACGTATTTGTTGTTCATAATTTTTATCTTTATGTACTTTCTCTTCTGAAAGAACCCCCTTCAGCAATTCATATAATTCTGGTTTGGTGTTGATGAACTCCTTTAGCTTTTTTTTATTAGTGAAACTCTTTATCTGACCTTCGAATCTGAGTGATATCTTTGCTGGATAGATTATCTTTGGTTGTAGGTTCTTACTATTCATCACCTTGAATATTTCTTGCCATTTCTGTCTGGCCTGCATGGTTTCTGTTGAGAAGTCAGCTGACAATCGTATAGGTGCTCCTTTATAGGTAACTACCTTCTTTGCTCTTGCTGCTTTTAATATTCTCTTTGTCTTTTGCTCTTGGAATTTTAATTATGATGTGTTTTGGTGTGGTCCTCTTTGGATTCCTTTTGTTTGGAGTTTTGTGCGCTTCCTGGACTTGTAAGTCTAATTCTTTCCCCAGGTGGGGGAAGTTTTCTGTCACTATTTCTTTCAGTATATTTTCGATATCTTGCTCTCTCTCATCTTCTGGGACCTCCATAATTCTGATATTGGTTCGTTTGAAGTTGTCCCAGAGGTTTCTTACATTATCTTCAATTTTCTGGATTCTCTTGCCTTCTAGCTTCTGTGGAGGAGTGTCTTCTGGCTCTTTATGTTCCAGATCTTTGACTTGATTCTTGCGACCTTCCATTCTGTTTTTAGGACTCTGTATAATATTTTTTATTTCAGACAATGTATTCTTTATTTCTTGTTGATCCCTTATCATTTCTTGTTGATCCCTTAACATTTCTTGTTGATCCCTTATCATTTCTTGTTGATCCCTTATCATTTCTTGTTGACTCCTTATTAATTCTAGTTGATCTCTTTTCATATCCTCATAGGTCTTATCCATCTTTTCTAGGAAATTCTTGAAAAACCTTATAAGCGTAGATTTGAACTCTATATACAGCCGCTTTTTGTCCTCCATTTCTTTCGTTTGTGATCTATTTCGTTGTCGCATTTCGCAGTTACAGATGGGACGGGATTTCAGGGTGGAGCCTACAGCCTTGGCTTCCGTCAGCTCCACCCTATGCGGGTCCTTCAGTATCACTGCAAAGCGCCTCTGAGAGAAAGGTGCCCTCGATTTTCGCCTGCTGCCAAACAGTCTATGCTCTCCCCCAATGAGCCCGGTATTGGGGTTCAGTTCAGTTGGAAGTGGAGTTGGAGGTGGTGTTCAGAGCAGTCTGGAGCCCCTGTCTCCTTCCCGCCAGGTAATCCCATGGCACAGCCAACAGTCCCTTCTCTGCGAGCAATGTGCGCGCTGCCAGGACCTCCTTTTGCCTCTCCCCTGGGTTCCGCCTTACAGCCCAGCTCCCTCTGGATGAGCCTGCGTCCCCGGGGTCTGGCCTAGGACTGGGGTTCAGAGCATTCAGAACTGGGGCCCAACACAGTCGAAGTTTTATCTCCTTCCCGCTAGGGAACGCCAGCCAGGCACTTGGCCTTCCTCCTCTCCGGCTCCGTCCTCTCCCCGCGCCGCGTGTCTCCATACCTTGGGCTTTTCCAGCTCCTCCGCGCTTCCTTCTGGTTTTCTCCTTGCTTCTCGTTGTAGAATTTCCAGTCAGTCGACTTTCCTATAGTTCTGGGTAATGTCCATTTTATATTTTAGTTGTATTTTATTGAAAGTGTTGTGTGCGGCTGCAGCTAGGTGTTTACCTGGGCGCAGCCATCTTGGATCCCTGTCTGCCGTAGCCACTTTGGCTCAATGTATAGAGTGTCGGTCTGTGGACTGAAGGGTCCCAGGTTCAGTTCTGGTCAAGGGCACATGCCCAGGTTGCCAGCTTGATCCTCCATTCTCTCATAATTGGTGTTTCTGTCTCTCTCTCCTTCTTCCTTCCTCTCTGAAATCTATAAAAATATATTTAAGAAAAGAAAAGAAATAAATACTTGTAAAAAAAAAAAAGAAGAAAGAAAGTACGATTGACCTTGCTCCTCTGCTGTCAGGTACTATTCCACCACCCCTTTCCCGCCATTTCATTTATATCTGAGGCTGTGATTGAAGGTTTACATGGTTCTTGTGTCAATAAAGATAGAGTTATACCATTACTCTGCTGCTCAAATAAAAAGTAGAATTGGCCCTGGTTGGTTTGGCTCAGTTGATAGAGTGTCGGCCTGCTGACTGAAGGGTCTCGGGTTTGATTCCAGTCCAAGGCTAAAGCCCCTGTTGTGGGCTTGATTCCCAATGTGGGGCATGCAGGAAGCAGCCGATTGATGATTCTCTCTTTTCATTGATGTTTTTCTCTCTCTCTCTCTCTCTCCCTTTCCCTTTCTAAAATCAATAAAAGAATATTTTTTTAAAAAAGAATTGCATTTTGAAATATTTTAAAGAGTATTTAAGTGACTATGAAAACTTTATTTATGTAACTAAAAATAAAGATTAGAGAATTGATGTTATCTTTAGTTTCCTCCTAAGACCTGAGAGTTTTTATTTTCCTGAATATACTTGTTAGTTTTTCTGTTAACTTTTAAGAAACTTTAAGCAGATTTAAAAAAAATTTGAGATATAATTGACATACAACTTTGTATTAGTTTTAGGTGTATAAAATAATGATTTGATGTATGTATATATTGTGAAATGATTACCAGAATAAGTTTAGTTACACAAGGTTACAACTTTTGTGTTTGAGGATAAGTTTTAAAGTCTACTTTCTTAGCAACTTTCAAATATAACTATACTATTTTAACTGTAGAATTTCTTTTTTTTTTTTTTTAAATATATTTTATTGATTTTATACAGAGAGGAAGGGAGAGAGATAGAGAGTTAGAAACATCGATGAGAGAGAGTCATCGATCAGCTGCCTCTCACACCCCCCCTACTGGGGATATGCCCGCAACCAAGGCACATGCCCTTGACCGGAATCGAATCCGGGTCCCTTCAGTCCCCAAGCCGACCCTCTATCCATTGAGCCAAACCGGTTTCGGCAAACTGTAGAATTTCTAATTCCCTTGATGTTAACTTAATTCGTATAAATCATTACATTTGCCACTGAAATAATTCAATATTAGTAAAAATGTAACATAAATCTGAACAGTTTATGAAAATAGTTTTATATTCTCTTCTCATTTTGTTAATTTATTTTTCTTATTAGCTTATTAATGAAATTGAAGAAATGGGTGGCATGGCCAAAGCTGTAGCAGAGGGAATACCGAAACTTCGAATTGAAGAATGTGCTGCCCGAAGACAAGCTAGAATTGATTCTGGTAAGATAAAGTAGAAATGTTCATATGTGAAATCCAGTATTTAAAATGAAATATTAATTTCTGTTTGAAGATAACATATGTAGTCAATAAAAAGTAACAGAAAAATGGAAATGTGGATAAAATGTTTCTCATCTAAATCTATCCATCTAGCTGTCTGTCTATCTTTCTCTGTATTTTAGTATGTATGGATGCACATGGACAAGCATATGTACAAAGTATGCAAGTATGAATGGAGGCATGTCCGTAGTGTCTGTGTATGTGTGTGTGGGTGGGTATCTTCAGCATTTGGAAGGTGACATGATAATTGGTCATTGGGCTCTGCATTTGAGTTCCACTTATTCATCCAGTCACTCAACAGTTTTTAGTTTTTGAGATGCTCTGCTGTGTCTGAGTATACAACTGTAAACAGGACAGGCATGGTCTGTGGACCTCAGAGTTAACATTTTAGTAAGAGAGAGAAAATTAACAAGTAAACAAATAGAAAAAGCAATTCTAGATTGTGGTAAATTCTATGAAGGAATTAAGAAGGGATATATAACCTGAGTTTGGGATAGCAGGTTGTCTTTTGTTAGACTAGTAATCTGGTAGCTTGAGGCAAAATATATTCTTTATCATGTTAAGGAAGTGTCTTTGTAATTCCAGTTTATCATTTATAGTTTTAAAAATATTTTTTGTTTTTATGTGATCGGCCATAAGAGAATTCAAGAAAATATTAGAAAACTTGTTGGGTGTTAATTCTCTACCTTATAAATCTTAGATGCAACCATGATTATTTTGATTTTGTAAAAGTGTTAGAAGATAGTTTGTCAGAAACTCTGGGAAAGCATATTATTTGGGAGAATAATAAAAAATGGTCCTTTACAGAGTTTCTGATATATACCAGTTTTTTCCCCCCTCCCACCTTCATCCCAGATTGGATTTTGCTGATTTATATTTAAGTGTTTCACTTATCCCCTGACAATGAACATGGTGAATGGGGCCTGGGAAGTCAGTAAAGCTGGGAGCTGGACCTCATTAAATTACTGGCAACTAAGTGTTAAGAAGACTACTTAATAATATTAAACTTACAAGAGAAGTACATGATGATCAGATTATTACTATTAGGCATTTATTTGTGAGTAGAATCTACATATTATTTTCCTTTGGGAAATAACAGGTTCTGAAGTAATTGTTGGAGTAAATAAGTACCAGCTGGAGAAAGAAGAACCGGTGGATGTTATGGCGATTGATAATACTTCAGTGCGTAACAAGCAGATTGAAAAACTTAAGAAGGTAATAGTTATCATGTTTTGAGTGCTTTTTGTGTTCTGGGCACTGGCTAAGCTCTTACTTTATCCTGTTAATTCCTTACAACAACCTCATGAGGTGGATATTATTTCCCAGTATTTTAAAGATAAGGAAACTAAAGATAAGGGAGATTGAGAAACTTGGATAAATAATTGTACAGCCAAGACTCATATCTAAGTATGTTGACTTAGTGCCAAAAACTCAGTGCTCTAAATCATCATATCTGCCTCTGAGAAAATGATATGTCAGTATTAAAAACCACACCATAATAATATTCCCTATTATTTGCAGATTGGAATAAGGCATGGGTGATTATGTAACTCACAGTAAAGTTCAGAATCAGTATTTGAAGCCAGGGCTTCTCACTGTAATTTATTTCCACTAGACCATGATTCCTGATACTATTATGAATCATTTATCTTCTGTTTTTGTATTTTTAAGTAAAATATATTTGGTAGTGCTTTAGTAAGCTACACTTTATAATGAACTATATTTATTTTGATTGAAACGAAAGTACAAGACCGTCTTTCCTTCTTATTTTTACCTTCTCACTAAGATGACCTGAAATATATGAAATACTAAACTAGATAAAACTTACTAATTTTCACTGTTGTGACAATATTTCTATTGTATGAAGCTACCTTGGTCTCTTAATCTCTGACTGTTGTATTTATGTCTAAGGCAGGAAACTAAAAATTCCTTAATGACTTTTCCCTGTTTACTTTCCCTGTGATTGTTTAAGATAAGGGTGGGGAATGATTTGCCCTCAGGTTATATAAGACCACAAAATCATTTGGTCTGGCCCTGCCAAGGCATTAGGGGTGAGTTATTAAATGTTTGACCAAAAAATAAGACTAATTTTAAGTTGATAATTTTGTATGGCTCACAAGTCCTATATTATAAAAGCCTAATATGCTGAGTGTCCTGTCGTCTGGTGACTGGTCAGCTATTCAACCAATTAAAGTGTAATCTATAATAATAAAAATGTAATATGCTAATTAGACCAGACAGTAGAACGACCTTCCAGACGTCATTCCAGACATCCTTCTGGACAAAGCCACTGCAATGAAGGCTAAGGCAGAGGTGGTTAGGGGTGATCAGGCAGGCAGGCAGGTGAGTGGTTGAGGGTGATCAGGCAGGCATGCAGAGTGGTTAGGGGTGATCAGACAGGCAGGTGAGTGGTTAGGATCTAGCGGTCCCAGATTTCAAGAGGGTGCAGGCCAAACTGAGTGACCCCCCTCCGAAACCCCATGCACAAATTTTGTGCACCGGGCCTCTAGTATGCTAATGATCTGCTAAGGTCACTCACCCTCTCACTATGATGTGCATTGACCACCAGGGGGCAGATAGACAACTGGTCAACCAGTTTCTATAACATGCACTGACCACCAGAGGATAGACGCTCCATCTGGTAGGTTAGCTTGCTGCTGAGGTCTGACAGATCAGGACTGAGCAAGATGGGCTGGAAACACCCTGGAGCTATCCCGAGGTCCCTCCCTGGCTGGCCAACCTCCCACATCCCTTCCTGGCCTGCCGGCCCTGGTCAGGATTGGGCAAGACAGGGCCAGACACACCCTGGAGCCCTTCTGCAGTCTCTCCCTGGCCTGATCATGCACCAGTGGGGTCCATTGGCCTTGCCTGTGCCCTCTCACAATCTGTCAGAGAGCCACTTTCAGCCCGATCCCACAGGCCACGCCCCCCAGGAGGGTGCCAGATGCAGGGCTTACGTCTGGCAAGCACTATTGAGGCAGTGCGAGACTCTGCCAATTGGGACTGATTGAGTGTGAGCCTGCAGCAGGCTCAGTTGGGCCAGGATGAGTGGGAGCAGCAGGTAGGAGCCACAGGCAGTGTTGGACTGTGGGTTTTGGCCTGATCCTTGATCCTCGCAGGCCACCCAGAGGGGGCCCACACATGCACAAATTTGTTCACTGGGCCTCTAGTGATGTTATAACTATCCAAATGGTCCTTTGCAGAAAAAGGGTTCCCCACCCCTAGTTTAAAATATAACTCTTTCCTCTCAGTTCAAATGAGCTGTAACAATCTAATAAATTTTGTCCAGGAAGATTGACTGCATAATGATAGAGTTAATGGTAGATGTTTAATGATATTTCCTCCTATTTAATCAGGAGATAGTGAATCCTCTCTTACATTTTGTAATTTTAAGAGGCCCTTTTAGGGTGTAGCATTTTATTTCCAGTGACCACAGAAGTCTTAATATTTATTATATTTGGGAAACCCCTTTTTTCTTTGTTATACTTTAGGCTTTTATTAATTCTATACCCTCAAGCTTGAGGGGTTCCATTGATAATAAATAACAATAGACCTTATTTTGGGCAAGAGAGAGAAATTTAATAATGGAGTTGGTTTTTTCCTTACCCTTAATATACATTTTCTGGCCCACCTGCTTATAGATACCATGGAATTTTAGTAACATAGTGAGCAGTATGGCATTTTAGATTCTTTTACAAGTTATAAAAACCTGTAAAATGTTGGATTTTAAGTAACTTTTTTTTAGACAGGTTGTTGACAGAGCACAGTAGACCTAGGACTTGAAAGGAAAACTTTTGACCATGCCTTTCGTCGTCTTTATCTCAGTATTTCTCGTTGTCTCTGTCTCTCTTTGTCTCCTTGGAATTTTTTTAAATATATTTTTTATCGTTGACATTACTGCAGATGTCTCCCATTTCCCCCTCTTTGCCTCCCCTCCGCCCATACCCCACTCTCCCCTCCCTCTGGCCCTCACCACACTGTGTCCATGGACTATGCAAATATGTTATCTGTGTCCATGGACTATGCAAATATGTTCTTTGGCTCTTCTCTTCACCTTCTTCATCCTGTCCACCCCACTCACTTCCCCTCTGACAGCTGTCAGTCTGTTCCACGTATCCAATGTCTCTGTTTCTCATTTGGTTGTCAGTTTATTTTCATTAGATTCCACATATAAGTGAGATCATATGGTGTTTGTCTTTCTCTGGCTTATTACTCTTAAATACAAAAGAAAAAACAGTATACATACATATTGATATATTGTTAATTAGTTAAGGAAACAAAATGTATCTAAAATATTATCTAAGTTGTAATCTGCTAATTTTTTTCTTCCTTTTCACTATTCATCATTAGTGCTTTTGAAATTCCTCATATAAAACAGCCTCTTGTTTTCAGTGTCTTATAGAGTTTATCATACAGTCAGGGGATGCAGACAATACATAGTAAACAAATATTAAGATAATCATGGGACAGTACTACAAAGACACTAAAGTAGGCCAGACGGAATGGGGTGTCTGGGAAAGCAGTTTTGAAGATATTGAAGATATGAAGACTTATGAACCAGGACATAAATAATAAGAAATAGAAGATAAGGGGGAAAGCCTAGAAGCATGTACTACTTGGGATGGTCAGCACTGTTATTGATTACTTTCCTGCTTGTTTCTAACTTATCAGGGTTATACGGAATTTAGTCGTATTTAGGAAGTTCTTAAATGTTTATTGAGTGAGTAAATGAATAAATTAAAGAAATATCAGACTTAGGATACATATTTCTTTCTTTTCCCCTCTTCTTTTTTTGAGGTTAGGACTGTGGGACAGTTTCTGTGTGATGTATAACAGTTTCTAATCTCTAACCTCTGCTTTATTCTCTATTCACTTAACTCCTCCCTTTTCTTGACCTTTCCCATAAGATCAAATCTAGCAGGGATCCTGCTGTGGCGGAGCAGTGTCTTGCTGCGCTGACTGCGTGTGCTGCCAGTGGAGATGGGAATATTCTGGCTCTTGCAGTGGATGCCGCTCGCGCAAGGTGAGGATTATTACCTTTGGAGATTTCCAAACCATAAAAATTGGCCAGTTAGCTTTTCAGAGTGTGCTAAAATAAAAGTTTGATTTCATAAACCATGGGAACCTAAAAGAAAATATTGGAGAACAAAATAAAGTTCATTCTTGTTTTTCTTAAACATCTGTGCATTTAAAACATTCACATATTTTGAATGCAGAGTATTAATATTTGTGTATTTCCCTGCGACTCAGGACATTTGACATTGTAATGAATCCCTTTGCAAGTTGAAGTTTATTGCACTTTCACATGTAGGGAGACATTAATACGTTGGACAATAAGAAGACTTGCCCTTTGTCCAGAGGTGGACTGTATGTCTGTCTTCCAGGGCTATTCACTATGTAGATATCTTCGAAAAGACAGACTGGAATAAGGGGCAATCAGTGCCTTGCCTCCTAGGACGTGGAAAAAAGCGAGTGACTCACAGAAACTTTTCTCCCAATGTATGTTAATGTCACTAAACAAATTATTTTTGCTTTTATTAGTTACTGCTGAAGATAATGAACTTTTGAAAAACATGTTGTTTTAAGTGCTTAAGGGGTAGAGTAAATAGTGTGTGGGTTGTTTTTTTTATTTTATTTATTTTTAGTTTTAATTCTTAAAATCCCTCGATTGGACTTCTAGTACTTTTAAATTAAAACCTAATTATCTTACCAAGGCCTCCTTCAAGGCTGCACTGAATATGCCTCTTGCCTAACTCTCTGACCTTATCTTGCTTCCTTCACTCCGCTGTGTCCTCAATGTCCCCTTTTCTATTTTTAGAATACAAAGTTTTTCTACTTCTCAGAGCTTTTGCACGTAGTGTTTCCTTTTTCAAATACTCTTCCTCTGATCTTCTATTTCTTATTATTTATATCCTAGTTCAAAAATTTTCACATCGTCAATATTTTTAAAACTGTTTTCCCAGCCACCCCATTCCATTTGTCCTACTTTAGTGTCTTTGTAGTACTTATCACATTATCATTTTAGTATTTGTTTACTATGTATTGTCCATATTCTCTGACTGGATGACAGGTACGTGGAGTTTTTTTGTTTTTGTTTTTTTCTGTCTTATATATCAATGAATTTCCAGCACTAACCAGTGCTTGGCCCATATTAGGTACTTAGTGCATGTTGAATGAATTAATAAACAGATGGAATAAACAAATCTTTCATAAAAGATTATTTTTTAATGAAAATATATTGCTCTTTTCACATCTATGTTGTGGTGAATTATTCAGTAACCTTTAGAGACTTATCTATATATAGTTTTTAGGTCAGTCATTTTTTTGGTTGAAAATGTAAAAGAGAGTTTACTATATATCAAGGCATCTAAAATAACTTTTTCTTTTTTAAAAAAAAATTATCTTTACTGTTGAAAGTGTTACAGATGTTCTCCCCTGTTTTTTCCCCATTGATTCCCTCCACTGGGCACCCACCCCTCCCAGGCCTTCACCATACCCAGGGGCTATGCAGATATGCATATAAATTCCCTGGTTAATCTCTCCCCACCCATCCCCCACCCCAGCCTTCCCTCTGAGATTAATTAGTCCATTACATGCTTCTATGTCTCTAAAATCACTCTTCATAAGTATCTTCATCAGATGCAATAAAAAAATTCTTATTTAGATTTTTAACAGCCTATTTTTTACTTAGGTAATAAAAGATGTTTAATTGATTACTTCCCTGCTTTTTTCTAATTTATCAGGGTTATACAGAATTTAGTCTTATTTAGGAAGTTCTTAAATGTTTATTGAGTTGAGTAAATGAACAAATTAAAGATCAGACTTAGGATACATATTACTCTCAATAATACCTAAATGATATTAAGGTAACTAAATATTTTTAAAATATGTTTTATTGATATTTAGAGAGAGGAAGGGAGAGGAATAGAGAGATAGAAATATCAATGAAAGAGAAACATCGATCTGCTGCCTCCTGCATGCCCTCCTAGTGGAGCATGAGCCTGCAACCTGGGCATGTGCCCTGACCTGACTGGGATTTGAACCATGACCTCTTGGTTCATGGGCCAACACTCAACAACTGAGCCAGATTAGCCAGTCAGTAACTAAATATTTTAATCTCATAAAATGATGTTAATAGAATATTAACTGTAATATTTTAGATGTACAGTTGGAGAAATTACAGATGCCATGAAAAAGGTATTTGGTGAACACAAAGCTAATGATCGGATGGTGAGCGGAGCCTATCGCCAAGAATTTGGAGAAAGTAAAGAGATAACATATGCGATCACGAGGTAATATGTGAGATTTCTTATAGAAGCATATCTTCTTTTCAGTTAACACAGTCCCCATGAATCTACTGAAGGCTTAATATTTTCGCATATCTCTTGGAAAATATGTATATTGTCTTTCCTGTTAGTCTGTAGTTTTACTGAAACAATATTCTGAACTTTCACTGTAGTCCCCGTTAGTAGTTTCTCATTTTAAACAGATGTTTATTTAACTAATGTGATATTGCTTTATATCCTCCAGGTATTTCAATTTCATTCTCCTTACCAAAGTACTAAAGTGCTTTCATATTTTTTCAACTTTATTTACATTAATTGCTGAAAATAATTATAAATTCTTAATTTTGCTATTCGAAAATACATATTTGATTGCCATCTGTATGCATTAATTAAAATCAGTCTTCAGTGAACTGACAGTAAAACTGTCAAACATGATTTGGAAATATATATAAATATAAAAGGATCATGCTTTACAAGTGTAAGAAGTAGCTTCCTGGTGATTAGTTTTCTCAAACTTTCTAATAAAAGTTCCCACTAAAATGTTTATGTGACTACCTATACACGAGATAAATACCAAAACAACCAAGATAAAAGTCATCAAAATGGAATCTTTTTTCCTTTTGTCAGAAATAAATGTGGTGCTTTTTTATATGGGGTATACAGTTATTGATATAATTAAGCAAGTATTTTGATTACATGTGATTGTAAGGCATGCTACAGTCAGCTTGGGGAGTTCACACTTGTGAAGGGAGGTATACGGATAGTTCACTACAGCTATTGGGAGTGGCATATGTATGCAAATAACCCTGAAAGGCACTTTTTAGTTTACATTTAAATATCTCCAATATTTCATATTCAATACACTGGAGGTGTTTTAGAAGGTGAAAAGTAGTCATTTTCTCATCTTGGTTCACTGTGATGCTCTCAGGGATATGGACTTAGAGGCTATGCCATCTTTCAAACTTTACTGTAAGGGGGAAATGGTAAACATTCTGGCTTTAATGGAGTTCAGTGTAAAACAGATATTAAAAATATTTTAATAAAAAGATTTTTAAATAAACTTGAAAGATTTGCTGCAAATAAATTGTAGTTTTTATATCCTACCTTTATACAACTAATATATAATTATTGTATTTTAAAATGTTGCTTAGGGTTCATAAATTCATGGAACGTGAAGGTCGCAGACCTCGTCTTCTTGTGGCAAAAATGGGACAAGATGGACATGACAGAGGAGCAAAAGTTATAGCTACAGGATTTGCTGATCTGGGTTTTGATGTGGACATTGGTCCTCTTTTTCAGGTACTGAAAATTGTTGGGGAGAATTTCAAAAAGTATATCATAAATCACATGTTGGAAAAAATCATAAAATCATGATGATATTTTAAATTTTTGAAAGAAGAACTTGAATGCAACAAATTTCCTAATTTATTTTTGAATGCATGTAATCTAATTAATTAGGACAGAAGTAGGAATGAAATATAACTCATGCTAATGTACTTGTTAATCAGACTTTGTAAAAATCATTGTCAGTTCTGAACTATAACTTTTTAAAAAAATATATTTTATTGATTTTTCACAGAGAGGAAGAGAGAGGGATAGTTAGAAACATCGATGAGAGAGAATCATCGATCAGCTGCCTCCTGCACCCCCCCCACTGGGGATGTGCCCGCAACCAAGGTACATGCCCTTGACCGGAATCGAACCCGGGACCTTTCAGTCTGCAGGCTGACGCTCCATCCACTGAGCCAAACCAGTCCCGGCCTGAACTATAACTTTTATTAGGCTTCTGAAGCTGCGAAGATTACTTTCAAGTATCTTACTGTGCTACTTATTAAGATATGACTAATATTTTGTGGGAAAGATAGCCCACATTGGATTGGTGGGAAATGTTTTTAAAGGGAAATCAAGCATCAGAGTAAGCTCAATTTAAAATTAGATTTTATCTTTTTTACTCTCTAGTAGTATTTTATTTGAACACAGAATATTAGAATTAGCAGAAAAACAATTTGTTGCAAGTAAATGAAACTGGAATTTTCTATAGGATGATGAGGTATTAATCATTCACTCCCCCAAAATCTTTGGTTGAGGAGTAAATTGTAATAACTTTTATATGAAAGGCTTTATCCATTACACATTTACTGATCTTCTACCGGGTGTTAGAGTTCTATAAGATACGATTTTATTTTGTCTTCAGGGCGGTTTAAAGCTTCTAACAGGTGTCCAGCTAAAAATGTTTGATAATCTGAGTGAGAAACAACAAAGGCCTTAATTAACCACGGCAGGACCTGGGTCTTTGAAGAAACAAAGAGTCAGCTAGGGTTTTGAAGAAAATTTAATGAAGGGGCTATTTACAGATAGGTTGGCAGGCTTAAAGAGAACCAGCTGTGGAACATTCAAATGAAGATGACCACATAAGTTGGATATACATGTCTGAAACAGCAGAAGCCTCAGTCACAGACAAGACTTTGTGACTTGTCACTATATAAATATTATTTAAACCATGACATGGATGTCATTTTCCATAAAGAGTTTATATAGCAAGACGAGAAAACTTGAACATTAAAAGGAAATAGAAGAGAAGGAAACAGCAAAGGAATGAAAAGAAATGGGATAAAAACTAAGAGAAGAGTTTCAAGGAGAGGGAAGTACTGTTATTACAAATGCAGATACATCAACTAAACTAAGATAGAGACTAAAAGAGTACTCATTGCATTTTACAGTAAAGAAGTAAACCTTCCTTTAGAGGTCTAGCCTTTGCAGAATCTCCCATAAGAGTTTTCCCTTTTTGAATTTTAGAATATTACTTAAGAGGGTCTAGGAGAAATTGTTACTATAAAGAGTCCAAATTTCTGGAGATATGTCCTTGAGCTGTGTTGGCAGGTGAATTTATTAATATGTTTAGAGTCTTACGCATTTAAAGTAGGAATCTCAAGTATATTTAATTTTATTATTTTTTTTGAGAAATTTTATGTGTTTATTTGAACCAAACTGATGAAATATACCAGGAAGCAAGATTTCAAATGCTACTCAAATATATATGTTGTTTTCATTCTTTAAGTTGAATACTTTTCTGTTTTTAAAGTTATCTTCTACCATTTTACTTTAGTTTGTTTTTTGTTTGTTTTAAAGTGATCAAATGTAATGCATTTCCAATATTTAGTAATTGGGAAATATTTCTTTCATAAAATAAAAGTAAATAAAAGCCTTTTATCACCTAAAAGAATTTTTTGAAGAACTGTGAGTTCATTCCCTCTTAAATCCCATCTATAAAAATATAATTGAGCTGAAATCGGTTTGGCTCAGCGGTAGAGCATTGGTCTGTGGACTGAAGGGTCCCAGGTTTCAATTCGGGTCAAGGGCATGTACATTGGTTGCAGGCACATCCCAATAGGGGGTGTGCAAGAGGCAGCTGGTCGATGTTTCTCTTTCTTCGACGTTTCTAGCTATCTCTCTCCCTTTCTGTGAAAAACCAATAAAATATATTAAAATAAAAAATATATATATAATTGACCTTTTAGTACCATCAACTTTGTTAACAGAATACTGTGTTATTTAAACAAAAACTTATCTATGGCTGAAGGTACAACCCTATAGTTCTTTGATGTTTGATTTAATCAAAATTAGATATGAGGTTTCAAAATTTTCAGCCTTTGATAATGCAAAATATAGTTTATATAAGCATAAAGTATGAACTGAACTGTTCAGATGGAATTTTGTCTTATAAATTGTGGTAGCATGGATGAAATAGATAATAAATCACGTTTAAATCAATTAAACTTTTCACCTTTAAGAAATCAATGGCAAAAGTATGCATAATTTTTTAAAGGGTTTTAATTTTATGTATTAATATATTTAATTTTATGTGTTAATATATTGCATATTTAAAATTTGATCTATTTGCTGCATGACTTACCTAGAGATCTTGAATGTGGCTCCATTATTGAGGGTATGGAATCTCTTGTTTCCACTAAAATTACGAGCCTTAAAATCTTGTCAAACTTAGAAAGTTCATAGATTTTGATAATTTTTTTGAACTTATAATTGTGCAGTGGTTTCTGAGGTGGTCTTATCCTTCTGAAATTTCTCAATTTACATTATATTCTCAAAGGGAAACTCTTAGGCAGTTTTATATAAATGACTTAAATACATGTAAATTATCAAAGTAATGTCACAGACTCATTATAGGAAGTGGATATAATCTTGAGTAACCTAATTGATTATGGAATATGAGAAATATCCTTTATAACTTTTGTATATAAGATATATATATATAACTTATATAAGTTAAATTTATATACTAACTATAAGTTAAATTTATATAAATCTAAGATTCACTTTTAACATTGCATTTTATATTTGGCCTTTTACTTCTTCATATATACTATAACAAGTTGCCTTACACTGCACAACTATTCAATAAATGTTGATAATGACACGTTCTTAAAAATGATAATGAAGAGGAGATATGTTTTGGTATAGCTTAAATCTGATAAATTCTAGTGCTGGAAGCAAATACAGCACTGGTGTTATTGCATCCATTGGATGAATTGGTATTTATGATGTGAGAATGATGAAATAGGAAGTTATATTCACTTCAAGATTTTTAATGAGTAAAATCTTAGAATGTTGATTAAGTAGATAACACTTTTTAAGATAAATGAGATTTGTCCCTTTCCTTTCTCATTGTTTAGACTCCCCTTGAGGTGGCCCAGCAGGCTGTGGACGCAGATGTGCACGCCGTGGGTGTGAGCACACTTGCTGCTGGTCACAAAACCCTCGTTCCTGAGCTCATCAAACAGCTCAGCTCCCTTGGACGGCCAGATATTCTTGTCATGTGTGGAGGGGTGATACCACCACAGGTATTTTTCATCGCCTGTATTTTTTAGTGCTGTGATGGGAATCCTGAGTTAACAATGTGTAGCTCTTTAATTTACTGCACACCTTTCCGGAAGATCAATGTGTGGTAGATTTTGAGCCAAATTATTTTCTGGTGATTTTACTAAGTTCTACAAAGTCCACAAGTGGGTAATGTTGTTTTCTCTTTAAGCTATATGTAATGCATATGTATCATTTAACAATTTACAGAGCTTCTTTGAGTGAGAGAATTATTCCCTTGCAGTAACTGAAATAGAGATCTACTTTCTTTATATTCAATAAACAGTGATGAGAAGGAACAGGATAAGGTAATAAAAATCTCACAGCTGGAGTAGAGAAGAATGGTAAACACACTGTGCATATAGCAACCAGAGATAGAGTGAGCACTCCTCCCCTGGTAGTAAAGTGAGTCGTTAGCCAGTCGGCAGCGTTTGCTTGTCCATTTCCCCCATGCTCCCATCCCTAAATGCTGCCCTAACTCAGAGCTGTAACAGTTACATGGTCCAATAAAACCCCCCTTTTATTAAAGCTAATTTGATTGGATATAGTTTTCTTTGAGCCCAAAATATTATATTTCAGATGTAAATGGAATCAGCCTGTTCTAAAAATTATTGGCCAAATGGCATAGAGGTGGATTCTTGAACAAAAACATGGATCATTTTAGGAAAGGAGAAATGGACAGTAGGTAACAATCAGTGATGTCAATTAATTTATTAATGGAGTGGGGGACTCCTTCCATATATTACCTTTACCTATCAGTTAAAATAATAAGTAAAGTTATTAATTGGGCCATAACCAGTTTGTCTGAGTGGATAGAGTATCGGCCCATGGTTTGGCCCATGGTTTGGTACTGAAGGTCCCAGGTTTGGTTTGGACAAGGGCATGTACCTGGGTTGCAGCTCGATCCCTGGCCCTGGTCGAGGCACATGTGGGAGGTAACCAATTGATGTGTCTGTCTCACATTGGTGTTTCTTTCTCTTTGTCTTTCCCCCTCCCTTCCACTCTCTAAAAATCAATGGAAAACTACCTTCAGGTGAGGATTAACAACAAAAATATAAATTGGGTTTATTTGCAATCCAATTTTTAATTATATCAAGTTCTCTCTTTTTTTTTTTTTTACTGAGAATGGAAAAAAATCAAGATAGAAGAACTGCATATGAGATTGCTCTAAAGAAATGATTTGTAGATGCTACAAAGCCCCTACCACTATAGCAGGAACCTATCATTGAAATGGGAGCTTGTGTCCCAGTCTATAATTTTTTTCTCCATTACAACTCAGAATATAAAAATAGTGGCTTTAGATACTACTTATGAAATGAGAAAATACATATGTATGAGGTTATGAGATTGGTAATAACATGAGACTAGCAAACAAACTATATATATAGGTATTTTATTCTGACTACCAACACAATACTTAAAGGTAATATAGTCAACACAAAATTGCTTTTGTTAATATACTTGCCTATTTTTTCATAGCTATAGCTTACTATTTGAAAATATAAAGGTTTTTAAAAAAAAATATATTTTATTGATTTTTTTACAGAGAAAAAGAGAGAGGGTTAGAGAATTAGAAACATTGATGAGAGAATATCATCGATCAGCTGTCTCTTGCACACCTCTACTGGGGATGTGCTTGCAACCAAGGTACATGTCCTTGACCGGAATCGAACCTGGGACCTTTCAGTCCGCAGGCCGACGCTCTATCCACTGAGCCAAACCGGTTTTAGCGGCTTTTATTCATTATTGCTATCTATCACTGGAATACTTCTATCTATAATGCAGTTTTAGAGACTAATATCTAAGCTCTTAGGCATGATATTAAAATTTAAGAATCAAAATAATTGGCAGCATAAAATAATGGAATTGAAATACAAGCTGGAAAAAAACACACACAGGCTTGTTATATGAGTAACCAGAGATTTTCAAGCAATATATTTCTCAAATTGTACTAACTCTGGATATTTGAATCACTTGGAATATCTATAGGTGTTCTTGTACTTTTTTCCTCTGAGTTTAAACACTAAGTATCATTTTCTGTAATGACAAACTTGAAAGTGTTAATATGGGTATCTGTTATAATTATAGCAGTTAGTACCCATGCATTTTTTAAATTATTTGTTTGTAGTAAATATATAAAACATTATTACTTGATTGAAAGATGCATAAATTTAAAATTAGATAGCACTAATATATGGTGGTTAATTAAACAGATATAGCAACTGCCATTGAGGAGCTTATAGTTTCTGCTGCCTGATTAAATCAATGTGGTTTGCCCTCACCAGTATGTGTAATTACCTTCAGGATCTTCTAACCCCTTTAACAACAGTGGCTTGCAAGTACTCTTGGCAAAATTAGCAGCCTCATGCTGCCTACTTCCATCATGAAGCAGACAATGTGATATGGCTGGCCCAGCTCAGTGCAAGACACTTTATAATAATAACTTTTTATTTAGAAATAATTTCAAAATAATAGATAGGGTACAAAATGAAAATAGTACAAAGAACACTGGTATGCCCTTTACTCAGATTCACTTGTTTCTAACATTTTATCCTCTCATTAAAATACACTTACAAGGCTTATGTTAGGCTTAGATAAATCAAGGACCCTTTCTCCAGTGGCAACATTTCATAGTCCTCTCCTAGTTGAGTCCTCCATTCCAAAGCCATAACTTGGATGTCAGAACAAATGGTACATAGCATTGTTAGAAAATATAGAAGATAATCTAGCAATTTAACCATCCTAAATTTGGAGATAATTGTTATTACATGTTTTATCAAGTTTTCTTATGAACTTTTAAACCTATAGCATCTGTCTAAGAGCGATGGCAGAGTTTCAGCACCTTTACGTGTCACGAACTGAGGATATAAAGATGCTTAGATGTGATCTCTGTCTTTAGAAGTTCATAGACTAGGAGTAAAGTTCAATGAGATGGATTAAGTGCTATTGCAGGATTATAGTATTGCAAGAATTTATAAGAAAATTAAATAGTTGGGGCATAATTAGCATGACCATATAATTTATCATCCAAATTTGATCACTTGATAATGAAAATGAGTGCTGCAATAACCAAAGAGTGATTTGAAAATGGCTTGAGTATCTGAATAGAGATGCTTCCAAAGAAAACGCACAGATGGCCAACAGGTGTAGGAAAAGGTGCTCAACATCACTAATCATCAATGAAATGCAATCAAAACCACAATGAGGTGTTGCCTCACACCTGTTGGAATAGCTGTTATCACAAAGACAAAAATAACAAGTGTTGGCCTAGGTGTAGAGAAAATGGAATTCTTGTACCCTATTGGTAGCACTATAGTACAGGCACTATAGAAAACAGTATGGAGTTTAAAAAAAAAATTAAAAATAGAATTACCATATGTTCTAATAATGTAACTTCCGGGCATTTATCTGAAGAAAAGGAAAACATGCATCTCCATGCAAATGTGGTCTATATAACAATAAAACATTATTCGGCCGCACAAAGAATGAAATCTTGCTTTTTGTGAGAATACTAGAGGGTGTTATGTTCAGTGAAATAAGTCAGACAGAGAAAAACAATACCATATGATCTCACTTACATGTGGAAGGACAGATTGATGATTGCCAGAGACAGAGGGTGGGTGAAAATGGGTGAAGGGAGTCACAAAGTACAAACTTTCATGGAGATGCAATGTATGGCATAGTGACAAAACTTAATAATACCATATTGCATATTTGAAGGTTACTAAGAAAAAATCTTAAAAAAAATTCTTACCTGAGGATATGCTTTTCATTGATTCTAGAGAGACAGAAAAGAAGAGGGAGAGAGAGGATGGGAGGGAGAAAGAGAAAGAAGCATCAATTAGTTGCCTTTTATATGCATCCTAATTGGGGATCCAACTCAAAACCTCAGTATTTGCCCTGACTGGGAATCCAACCCGAGACCCTTCGGTGCACAGGATGATGCTGTAATTAACTGAGCCACACCAGCCAGGGCAAGAGAATAAATCTTAAAATTCTTAACACACAGACACACACACACACAATTTTGTAACTCTGGTGATGGATGTTAGTTGGACATACTGTGGTGATAACTTTGCAGTATATATAAATATCAAATCATTATGTTATATACTTGAAACTAATATAATGTTATATGTCAGTTATACTTCAATGAAAAAAAAAAGATTTTTTTTTTTCATTGAAGTATATAAAAAAAAAAGAAAAGATTTTTTCTTTTCTCACAAGAAAAGAAAAAGATTTGTGCTGCAATAGCACAAACCAGAATGTTCTGAAATATATAATCACCTTAGTGATTGAGGATCAGGGCTTTAAAGCGTGCCCTAAACTTGATATTATTATAGCAATAAATATTCCGATATTGAAACAGCCTAAAGCCCAGAGGAATATTTGTGTCCTGTGAATATTTTCACTCAAACTTTGACTTTGTTTAAAATAAACTAATGAACAACAGCAGGGTGTTTGGGAAATGGGCAGAATGTGTTTTATTCTTTTAATGACTTGGAATAAAAGGGTGTGCTAGTGGTTTTTAGCAGTCCCAATCAAGGAAGAATTTTCATCCCCAAATGCCAGTAGTGTATTAGTGGAGAAAGTTTGGGGCACTGGGAACAAAGAAAAAAGAAAGCAAGTATTGTTCTTTTGTTTAATTTGCTTAAAAATATTATTGTTTCTATTAATAAAACATATTCTTTCAACAGGATTATGAATTTCTGTATGAAGTTGGTGTTTCCAATGTATTTGGTCCTGGGACACGAATTCCAAAGGCTGCTGTTCAAGTGCTTGATGATATTGAGAAGTGTTTGGAAAAGAAGCAGCAATCTATGTAACATCCTCTTCCTATTTTAGCTTTTTTCTAAAACATTCTTTCAATGATGATTAAAGAAGATATTTTCAATTTAATTCAGCACCGTATATATGCTTTCCTGAAAGCTTTACATTAATATACCTGACTTATAAGAATGTTGCCATGCTATAAGTGTGTATGTACAATTTCACTTAAAAAATTATCCGAAAATACTCTCAATAACACATGCTCACTGCTTTACCAGAAACTCTAAAGGTGTTCTTTTAAAAACTCATGTTTTTAAAAAAATATTACTTGTAAATCTATTTACTTTCTATTTTAAGAATTAAATTGTACCTTAAAAAAATCTGACTAGTCCCATTTTTAATGTATCATTATATTGACTTGAACATCAGAAAATAAAATCCACATGTGAGTAAAAAAATATTATATCTAACTTGGAAAATATAGTGGATGAGTATTTATGTAGAGAAATAGATGTGGTTATGGTTCTCAGCCAAATTCTAACAGGATTACCTCAGTAAGAGTATTAAATCATAAGGTTGTAATGGTCGGGAAACAGCAGAATATATTTGGTCTGACTACTTTTCCTGGGCATGAACATGTGACCTTGTCATTATTGGACTTGGCTCAAGACCCAGGAGAGTGGATAGATATTTATGAATGTTCCCTAATATGAAAGTGCTTTGGTTGTGAATAGGCTTCCTCAGAATGGGAATGTGAGCTGAGAGTGTAGAAAGGCCATGGTCTTTACATCTAGAAAAGTCAGTGATATAATTCAGCCCATGTCTGAACGCCCGAGAATGAAAGGAGCCCATGATGTAAATCCCAGTTAGGCGGAAAAAAGGGGAGAATCCCTCCGTCCTCTGCCTTTGTTCTATCGAGGCCCTTAGCAGATTGGATGAAACCTGTCCACAGTGAGACTTGACTAAAGTTCACTAATTCAGGAACAGCCTAATAGACACAACCAGAAAAAATATTTAATCTCGGTACCCCATGGTGTCTAGCTGACATGTAAAATTATCTAGCACAGAGCCCCTGTACATTGCTGGAGGGAATGTACAGTAATGCTGCTAGAATGGGAAATGATATGATTTTTAAAAAAACAATTACCAAATGGCCCAGCAATTCCACTTCTGGGTATATATCCAAAAGAATTGAAAGCAGGGACTCAAACAGATATTTGTACACCTATATTTATAGCAGCATTATTCACACTAGCCAAAGAATTGAAGCAACCCAAGATCCATTGACAGGTGAATGGATAAATAAAATGTAGTACATACATACTTACATAAAAATACTATTCAGCCTTAAAAAGGAAGGAAATTATGATACATGCAACAACACCCTAGATGAACCTTGATGATATTCAAGTGAAATGAGCCAGTCACAAAAGGACAAATATATGATTTCAATGAGGTACCTAGGATAGTCAAATTTGCAGAGATAGAAAGAATGGAGGTTGCCAGGACCTGGGAGAGGAGGGAGTGAAGCATTAGTGTTTAATGGCTGTAGAGTTTCAGTTGGGGAAGACGAAACAGGATCAGAGACGGATGTTGGTGATGATTACACAACAACGTGACTGTACGTAAAGCTACCGAACTGTACACTAAAAAATGTTTAATAAGGTCAGTTTTATGTGTATTTTACTACAATAAAAGTATTTAGAACAGTCTTGACATGGTACATGTTTTATAAATGTTAATTATTATTTTTATTTAAAAATAATGAATGGTAAGGCATAAAGCTAAGAAGGTCACATATAGAGACTTGTATAGTTAAGGGATTTGGCTTTATCCTATAGATAAAGCCAGAATCATATAAGGGTTTTAACCACAGAAGTAACCTGATAACACTTGTGTTTTTAGCACAGTAGCTAGCTGTGTGGCGAATGCCTTTTAGGGGGGCAAGATAGAGATAAAAGTTATGTGACTTACAGTATGGAATAGAGGAAGTCTAAGTTATTATAGCTTAGGTACTGCTCAGAGATGGCAAAGGTGGAGAGGAGGAGATCTTATTTTGGAAGATTGCTGTGTGGAATCTGCTGTTTCCTCACCTACTTTGGTCGTTCTTTTGTGGACTTTTTGTTTTTGTTTTCACATTTTTATTGGGGGCCACAATGGAGGAGACCCCCTCCCTGTCACTGGAGGTGTTCAGAGTTTTTTCAGCCACTCCAAACTTGGGCCTTGGGGGTGTAGGGACTGAGCAGGCAGAATTCTAGAGTGGCCTTAATTTGTGAAAGGCATGACATTCTTGAGGAAAGCAGTGAGTCTCCCCAGCATGGTCTTGACTGTGGCAGTGGCGGCAGTGATAACTGTTGGACCTTTTTGGATGTGCTGTTATTTGATGACTGGATTCACAGGAATAGGGTCAAAAGCAGGAAAGATAAAATTTTGAGATTTGTTTTCCAACAATCTTTTTGTCAGTACTAGAGCTTGAGAAGCTGTTCTGGCTTTAGAAGTACACTGGAATGATTATCTTTAGGGGTCTTGGGAGACATTAAAATCATTTCCCTGAAACTTATTAGAAATTTAAGTGTTATACAGTATTATAAAGCAATATAGCAAGTGGAGGAGAGGTTTAGGAGGCATCTTTTCTGAGTGAAGCCTGCATGGAAGTAAGGGAGAGAGAGGAACGAAGCAAAAGAAACCAGAATGAATTCTTACTCTGATTTCCATCAGGAAGGGAGATGCAAGTAAAGGAGAGGAGAGATGGGGGTTGTTGAAGATCTCCAGATCTAGGCACAGACGAAATTATGCCAGATGTTATCAGCTTTAATTTCCTATCCATCTCATAGTACTAAAAAAAAACTTAAAAAAAACATACACACAAGGGATTTAATAAAACCATCTATGTTAAGGCATAAATGTTTGCTAATGTAGACTATGTTCATTTCCCCAGTAATATTTTATTTTAAATGAAGAAAAATACTCATTGAAGTAATAAATATCTAAATATACTTGTGCTATTTGGTAGTTAGTAAAAAAAAAAATGACGATGATGATGATTATGATAAAAGCTAATGTAATTTCTAATAGGTAAATTCTGGCTCATTTTAAAAGAATTATGGACCATCCTATAGGCTACTAGACAAAGCTTGATTTTTTAAGTAGCCTACACGTGAGAGGTAAGATTTAAAAATCTATGTAGTTGTTATTAAGCTATTTTCTTATTTGCACTTATCATTATGAAAAATGCTCTGAGCACTTAAAAATACTTTTTGAAGAAAAATCACTTTGCTTTTCCTGGTTCTGCTATAGTTTTCTGCTTCTGTTTCTCATTTTATTTTTTTCTATTGTACCTGTAGGTGTCTCCCTAAGTCCAGGATTATTCTATATCCTTAAAACATTGTTTGAAATGATGTCCATCCCAGAGACTCATAGGTGCTATAAACACTCTCAGAAAAAGCACATCTCTTTAAATAATCTGCTTCGATGCACCTATTGTTGTGTTTTGTGATTATGATCTGTGGTCAATAACACTTGCTATTGATCATTGCTCTTGAACTTTGCTGCATTTGTGTTAAAATGGTTAGTTGATTAGCAGTGAAGCTAGAATATGACCTTGGACATGAGATTATAATTGAATTTTATTAAGTAAATCCACCCATAATTCACACTGACTCATTTTAAGTTACTAATTCTTCATGGCCTATTTCCTCCCTCTGCACTCAAGCCTTTTATTGTTATAGTGACCTTCTCTTTCATTTACTATGAATTCAGGCACCATGAAAGTAATTTTCACCCAACAGGATACACATATTCCCCCAAAGTCCTTTTAAAAAGAGAAATGCAGAATTTAATACCTTCTTTTAGGATTATTCCAATAATTTGATTCTGAGATCATGGACAAAATATTAATTTAGACAAATGCCATGAGGTCATGGGATATATATTTTTATTGGTTCAATACCATTTGTTAAATTCTAATATGCTATATTATTTGGAAAATTAAAAATACAAGATTTTATTGTTTTAGAGGGCTTCAGATGGCCAGTAAGCATTACATATGCCTTATAGCAAAGAGATATTTTCCTGTTCAATTCTTTCTTGAATGGAAAGCCTAAATCAGAGCTTTCTTAGGGGGTAGAGAGTAGAGTAACAGCGATGACATTTGATGGTTTTCTAGACCATCTTTACTAGACTTCAGTCTGTCCTATTGTCTCCTTTAATGGTGTCCTTCTCATTAGACCACATGATCATCAGACCAAAGTCAATGACAATTTTCTGTCAGTATAAATGCTTGTCTAGACATTCCATTTTAAAGTTCTTTGGCTTAAGGCATTAAGTCCTGTAAAAATAGTCTTTAAAATTGCAAATATATCTGCTAAAAGCCTAATGTTAAACTGGACATTTAAATTTACTCTGAGAGCATCAACTGAGAGGGCCGTTGCTGATGGTGCACAGGCTGTGCACAGCCCAGCTCCTGGAGTGCCATCTCCTCTGTGGTCATGCACCATCCTAGCTCTACTTGGTCTGGGTTGCAATTTTCCATCTTAGGAGAGGGTAATGATAGAGCCCACATAAAACCTTCATTTTTAAGGATTAACTGAAATCATGCATGTGACCTGCTTGGAACTATGCAACATGCAGTGGAAGGCCAATAAGTGTTTTCTATAATATTTATTATTATAGTAAATGCTAGCCTCACTGCTAGCCCTTGGAAATAAAAATGATACGTGCACATGACATGGTTCTTCTCAAAGAGCTGGTTGCCAGTTTGCATGAACTAAGATTAACTCATAGGAAGACTGACTACATGTGTAGATGTCTCCACATAGTGCTGTGAGACACCAGGAGTTGCTAATTTTCTCCCCTGGGAGAAATGAAAGCTTCAAGGAGGAGATAACATCTGAGACCTACAACAATGGGAGAGTTTAACTGGGCAGAGGTATGAGTATACATATCAGAGATATATGAGGAAACAGAGAATCCAGGAAATGGGAACAGTTGCATTGATTGAAGCATGAAATTCATGGTAAGGTTAAGATGTAGGATGAAGATTTTATCATTTGAATTT